AGTTTCCCCAGAATCATTGGAGATCATTGTTGGAGATCCAGGTCCTTGGTTTTAGTAACATATCTCTACTTTTCTTCCATAGACTCCTGAGGCATGCCGACAGGCCCGAAGCTACCTGGAGTTTTCTGAGGACTCTGTGCAAGTGCCCAGGAACCTGGTTGGTGAGTTTGGGTATATGTGTAGAAGAGAATAGAATAGAAAGCCACGAGCTTTCTATGCGGGTGTTGCTGAGTTGCAGAGTACTTGCCTAACATGTATGAGGCCCTGGGTTCAATCACAGTGTGGTGGTGGGGAGAAAGTTGAGTGCAGTGACACCTACTTGGGAAGATGAGGTGGGATGATCGCTTGAGCCAAGAAGTTTGAAACCAGCCAGGTTATTAATAGAGTGATTCCCAGTCTCAAGGGGGAAAAAAAAAGCATTAGGGGCCCAGATATGGGATTCTCATAAGTGTTTATTTCCTTTAAAAGGAAAAAAGAAAACAGAAAAAGGCCTAATTCCTCCTTTACCCTTTCAGGCAAAGTGATTGGAAAGAATGGGAAAGTGATCCAGGAGATTGTGGATAAATCTGGTGTGGTGAGGGTTCGTGTGGAAGGTGATAATGACAAGAAGAACCCCAGAGAGGAGGTATGTGCAACTAGGCCTAGAGATTGGCTTCCAGAAGTAGGAGGGATTATTTTCTGAGGGCTTGTTATTTGCAGAGGGTGGAACACAAATTTTTGTTTACCCCTAGTAGAATTTGATCTCATTGGGTGGGCTCCCCTGGGAGACCAGGTGGGGTTAATATTTGTGTTCTGCTCTCCTTTCTGATCCATCTTTCCTTCTCTCTGCTCTCCAGGGAATGGTTCCCTTCATATTTGTTGGCACCCGAGAGAATATTAGCAATGCCCAGGCGCTGCTGGAGTATCACCTCTCCTACCTGCAGGTAGCCATGCTGAAAGCCCAGGAAAGGAGCAGACTGCGTACAGCAAGGGGCAGGGAAGGAGTTCTGAAGGATAAGCTTCAGAATTGGGGTTCCCCATCTGTCATTTTTCATTCTTAGTACTGGGGATTTAACCTAGGATTGTTCTACCACTGAGATACATACCAGCCTTTTATAAATTTTTCATTCTGAGACAGGGTCTCACTAGGTTGCTCAGCTGGCCTTGAACTTGGTGATCCTCCTGCTCAGCCTCCCATGTTGCTGGGATTATAGTCATGTGCCACCATATCCAGCTTCCAGCCTTTTTTTATTATTTATTTAGGTACTGGGGATTGATCCCAGGGCGCTTTACCACTGAGCTGTGACCCTAGTCCTTTTTATTTTTTATTTTGACAGAGTTTTGCTAAGCTCTTGAGACTGACCTTGAACTTGCAATCTTCCTGTCTCAGCCTCCCCAGTTGCTGGGATTACAGGCATGTGTCACTGTCTACAAAGACCCAGTTTGTCTTTGTAGAACAAGAACCATTGGTGGAAATTTTGACTGTGGGGTTAGATTCCCAAATTTTTCTTATTCAGCCAGCATCTTCTTTCTCTTTGCATTCCTGAGAGCTTAGCTATGTAGGAGAAGCATGAGAAAAGGGAATTGTCCACTGATCTTTTTCCTTCTTCCATTTCATCTTCCATCTTCTTCCCAATCAGGAGGTGGAGCAGCTTCGCTTGGAGAGGTTGCAAATTGATGAACAGCTTCGCCAGATTGGGTTGGGCTTTCGCCCTCCTGGGAGTGGACGGGGTGGCAGCAGTGATAAGGCTGGCTATACCACTGACGAGAGCTCCTCCTCCTCTCTGCATACAACAAGAACCTATGGTGGCAGCTATGGGGGCCGGGGCAGAGGCCGCAGGACCGGGGGTCCTGCCTATGGTAAGGCACATGTGGGTCCAGTGGGGAGAGGCAGTGGGCTGGGTGGAAACTTGGAGACTCAAAGTCATGATTAAGAGATGATTGGCTGGGGGGCTTGTGAGGGAGAGGAAGAACTCTTCCAATTTTCAGGCTGTGATGGATCTTGGGGTGGGATGAATGGCCCTGAATAGATGTCACTGTGTTCTTCAGGCGCCAGCTCAGATCCTTCCACAGCTTCTGAAACTGAATCAGAGAAAAGAGAGGAGCCCAGCCGAGCTGGGCCTGGTGACCGGGATCCCCCAACCCGGGGGGAAGAAAGCCGGAGGCGGCCGATTGGGGGCCGGGGTAGGGGACCCCCACCTGCTCCCCGGCCCACCTCAAGATACAACTCTTCATCTATTAGCTCAGGTACCACAGGGTTGGTGTCATGAATGTGGGCCAAAAGGAAAGACAAATTTCACCTGACTCCTCATCCCTTTCCTTTCTCTGACCAGTGCTGAAAGATCCAGATAGTAATCCTTACAGCCTACTGGACACATCAGAACCAGAGCCCCCGGTTGATTCAGAGCCTGGGGAACCACCCCCAGCAAGTGCCAGGCGTCGCCGCTCCCGTCGCCGCCGCACTGATGAAGACAGGACTGTCATGGATGGAGGCTTGGAGTCTGATGGGCCCAACATGACAGAGAATGGCCTGGGTGAGGGGCCTGAGAAGTCAGAGATGGGGTGGAATGAGGGATGGGAGAATGGTTGTATGATTTGTTCTCCTGTACCCCACAGAAGAAGAATCAAGACCCCAACGTCGTAATCGCAGCCGTCGCCGCCGCAACCGTGGTAACCGGACTGATGGGTCTATTAGTGGAGACCGCCAGCCAGGTCAGCAGGCACTGCAGGCCAGTAGCCCTTCTAGAGCCTAGAATGGGCACATCCTGCCCTGTGTGAAGATTAGGGTTGGGTTTAGTGGGAATCCTGGGGTTGAATACCCAAGTTCCTTCTGAAACTTGATCTTCTGCCTTTCCCAGTGACTGTGGCTGACTATATCTCACGAGCAGAATCCCAGAGCCGCCAGCGGCCACCATTGGAACGCGCTAAACCCTCAGACGATTCTCTTTCAGGACAGAAGGTAGGCAAGCCAGATGCAGCTTACCCCCACTCTTTTTTATTCTAGAGCGGGGGACACACAAAATTTCCCCCCCAAAAAATCTCTTAATGAATTTCTGAGGTGTCTGTGTCTGATGCAGTTTAGGCTGCATTGAGAATAGTGCAGAGTTGGAACAGAACAGAGAGAAAAGTATGGCTTGCGATGAGTGAAAAGAGTGAAGATGGGGAACCAGCCCCTGGTGTGTGGAGGGCTTAGTGGGAGGGGATGCCTATACCTGGACTTCTACTAACCATCTGCTTTCCTTTCTGTTCATTTTCTTCCCTACTTCCCCCTCAGGGTGACTCTGTCAGCAAGCTTCCTAAGGGCCCCTCAGAGAATGGGGAGCTCTCTGCCCCCCTGGAGTTGGGTAGTTTGGTGAATGGGGTTTCATAAAACCTCCAGCCTGCATCCCTCCCTTCTCCATCTCGCTTGCTGCCCACCACCATGGCCCTCACTGGCCCAACTGACCTGCGCTGGAGCTGCTCTTATCTAGGGGGGAGGGGGGTGGCACAGCAGCTTGGGTCCCCCCCAACCTCCAGGAGCTAGTGGAGGGGTAACAGGGTCATACCCCCTCCCTCTTGTCCACCCTACCCCCAGGGTGAGGGGAGCCTCCCCTTCCTCATCAGACTGGATGTGCCTTTATCCTCTAATGCCCCAACCTCTGAACACCCCCATTCTCCGCCTGTTGGTGGGGGTGCTCCTTGACCCACCCAGATTTGACATTTCAGGGGGCTCCCCTGCTATCCCTCCTCCCATCCTGTACCCCCATTTCTGGGGCCTCATCACTGTGGAAGACGGGGATAGTAAGGGTATCTGTGGGTGGGAGGCATGGGGAAGGTTTTGGAGTAGAACCAGGGGTATGTATGAAGGGGGGGTGACAAGGTCCCCCAGAGGGAGGGGGGACCAACCTTGTCTGGTGGATGAGAAGGCGTATTTATTTTTCACTGTACAGTATTTAAAAAGAGAATAAAAAAAAAAAAATCCAAACGGCTCTGTCTCCTATGTGTTCCTTGTCCAGAGTTTGGGTTCATTTGATTCTCTAGTACAGACCTACCTTGGTCCCTGGCTCTTATTCTCTAATCCTTTACAGTTGGTTTCTCATTCCAATTTCTAGCATTCCTAAATTCCCCAGCCCCAAGGTACCCTCCTGGTCCAAGGGGGTGGCTCAGGGTGCTGCTCCCTTCCCCCCTGATAGCTGGTAGAGGGAGTTGGGCCACTCCTGTGTCCTGAGTCACTGTGTGGGCTAGGCAGGGCTGCTGTGCTCAGAGCTGGAGCTGTTCCTGCTAGAAGCTGAGAGCCAGGATAGGCTGCTTAATCCGATTACCTGAGGCCCAGGGCGTGGGCTGGGCGCTAGGCAGAGTGGGGAGCCTCTGGAACTCAGGGGTGCAACCCTCCTTGCTAGCTGGTCTTTTGCACTGGCTCCAGCAGGCATACCTCTCAGCTCCTGGGAGCTATCCTGGGTTTCCTTCCCACCCCCAACTTCAACTGGTTTTGAGGATAAAACTTGCTGTAATTCAGTAGCAGTGAAGAAATCTGGGGGCTGGAAATGGGAGGGCTTGAGTTTTCTCACCTGGAGAAAAGGGTTGAATCATCACCCAAGCACCTGCTGGAATGACTCAGGAAACAAAAATGGCCTACCTCCCTTTGACTGCCTGACTTTCTTGCCCCAGGGGCAGGTCAGGGTTTGAGGAGAAATAGGCATCAGAAAAGGGATTTGGGTGGGGAGTGGGACTTCCCAAGTTTCTCTAAGCATAACTCTGACCCTGAGGGTTTCTGATGCCCAGAGCGCTTGACCCCATTGTGGAAATGAATTGACTTCAAATTGTCAGTGCTTAAAAAGGGAGGGGGTGTGATTTGTAGAACTGGGGCTGGAAGGCCTGACATCTAGGCCTTGGGTGGGGAGTGGGGTGTGGTGCCCAGAGGGTAGGTATTGGAGCTGGGAAGAAAAGGACACCTGGGTTTGCCTAATGGAGGGGGATGTTGGTACGGCCTCTGGGAGGGATTGGGGAGGAGTCAGCTTTAAAAGCTGTTCCTGAACCTGGCCTGGGAGACTTACGGCTGAGTGCAGGTGGGATAGGTCTGCAGCATCTCGGCCTCCTGTGTCTGGTAGCTGACAACTACAGAGCAAAGGTTTACTACCTCCACCCTAATACCGGACCTTCATTGCAGAGGGTAAGGGAAAAAGAACTGGAAGGTGGGGGACTTGGAAGCAAAAAGGAAAGTAGAGCAATTCTCCAGTATAAGGGTGCCAAAACCAGTGGATTGTGTGCTTGACTCCCGAAAGTGTGCCAACTTGGGAGCAAAAGCTCCATTTCCAGGGCTTCGGAGTCGGGAGTAATATCTATCTCGTTAAAGGACTCGAGATTCTTCATCACGACTTACGATAGAGAAGACACTTCCATTTAAGGGTCTTACCTTTATTTTGAGAGGGCATTCAAGACACCCTCTCAAGGTTTCCCCTGAACCCATGGCACTGCCCTGCTCTTCACAGGCCCAGGCCTGGAGCCTGGAGCCTCCCGCATGCAAGACCTCTACCATCTCTGCTACCTCCTCGTCCTCGGGACCTCAGGAGCGAGAGGGTGCCAAGAGTCCTTTGGTGTCCGCGAGTCTTCCCTTGGAGAAGGTGAAGCGGCCCATGAATGCGTTCATGGTGTGGAGCTCCGCTCAGCGCCGCCAGATGGCGCAGCAAAACCCCAAGATGCACAACTCTGAGATTTCCAAGCGCCTGGGTGCACAGTGGAAGCTGCTGGGTGAGGACGAGAAGCGGCCCTTCGTGGAGGAGGCCAAGCGGCTGCGCGCCAGACACCTGCGTGACTACCCCGACTATAAGTACCGGCCTCGGCGGAAGACCAAAAGTTCTAGCACTGGCAATGCCCACTTCAGCCCTGGAGGCAGTGGCCTGGCCTGTGGGGTCCCACTCTGGGGGCCGGGTTACACAGCCACCCAAGGGAGCAGAGGCTTTGGGTACCAGCCCCCCAACTACTCAACAGCCTACCTGACTGGCAACTACAGGTAAGTGCTTAGGAAGTGGGTTGAAGAGCCTTGCAACCCCCTCTGAGGACCTGGGTCGGGGCAAATGCCAGAGGGCTCTACTGGAGGAGGCGGTTATCCCAGCAAAGGCCACTCCCCTTAGAAGGCTGTGTGTCTTCTGTGAGTAAAGTGTGGGTGGGAGCGTCCTGGTGGCTGGGGTTTTTGCTGGGGACCTTACCAATCTCACTTTGGAGGTGGTGGTGGCTTTGCAGGGGCAAATGACAGACCTTTGGATGTGATGGTGTTATCATTATCAGAATGCCCCATTTCCCCCTGCTTCTGGCCGGTATGTGACCCGGCTTCCTCTCCCAGCCCCCAGGGCAAGGAGAGGCCAAACCTAACCTGCCGCTTCCTGGCCTGCTGCCCCAAAAAAGGAAAACAGCCACACAGCACGCAAACCGGCTTGTGAGCAAGCCCCAACAGGGCTGCACTGCTCTATAAGCCATCCTAGGTTCTGGTTCCATGCCTGCTGAACCCAGAGTGGCTGAATGGGTGGCAAGCTCTACCTCTGTCTGCTCACAACTGGTCAGACTAGTCCCCACATAAGAGTTAGGGACACTGCCCAGACCCTCCAATCAGGGAAGCAAACTCTAATCCCTGCCCCCCATTTCTCTTTACAGCTCTCCCCATTGTAGACCGGAGACCCCCTCGCCGAGTTCTCTCCCACAGAGTGACCCTAGGCTCCAAGGGGAGCTGCTACCTCCCTATAGTCCCTACCTACCCCCAGGTTCTCCCACTCCATACAATCCTGGTGCCATGCCCCTGACCCACCTATAACTCGCATGGACACACACCTCCCATAAGGGCTGCATTCTCCTTTCCTCCAATCCAGAACAATCCCCTACCCACAGGCTGCAAACCTTTTCCTGGGTTGGACTACAGTTCAGAGATTTGCAGTTGTCCCAGAAAGCAGAAGCAAAACCACACTTAACACAGTTTTGTATGATTAAACAACTTCTCTGTCTTTTTTGTTCCATTTGTACTCCTCTCACTATAGCAGGAACCAGTGCCATCTCCACTCCCTTCCGCCTGGACCTGCCAGAGCAGGAACCTCCTCACCCCACCCTGGGGCCCTGCCTGAGTCATTCTGTCCCCCTTCCCCCACCCCAGCACTGGGGTCTAAGAGGTAGTCCAAGCCAGGCTAGGGGAGGGAAAAGGCCCAGCCACAAGCCCCCAGTTCCCTTCATCCCACTGTTCAGGTTCTGTCCTCTAGGGCCAGAAGGGAAGAGGGTTGGTGGGAGGGCAGGGTGAGACATTGCCCCATAAGGAAACAGCTAGAAACTGTTGTTAAAGAAACAATCTCAGCCAATTAAAAAAATGACTGAATAGCACATGTACAAGATTTGGAATGATACTTTAATATCAAAATGTCAGCATGAGACTACCACTGTCCTCTTTTTTCTAAAGATCTGGTTCCCACTACCTGTTTTCACCGAAAACAGACTCTGGCTCAGGAAGTTGCAACTGCAAAGGAATGGAAAATGATTAAAAGTCACATCAACAGACTAGCTCACATGGGGAGAACCCTGAGGTTGGGTGGATGGATGGAAACACAAAATGACTCCCAACTCAAACAGCTGGCTCAACCCTATTCCTCCTTTTTCTTCTTGTGGGGAGGTTTTGCGTTCCAGTAGAAGAGGACCTGGGCAGCAATGAGGCCATTGCAGAGGGAGGAGATCACAAAGATTCCAGCCATGAGAAGGTCTCCGGTTTCCTGGTTGTAAAGGACAGAGAAGGCCACCCTTCAGCATAAATCAAGAAAGGTTCCCCTAAGGACAAAAGCCTCAGGGGGCAACATAAGTCTCCAGTGGAGAAGGGTAGATGAGGTTAGAGTGCCCTCTGGAGGGCAGAAAGTGCACTTACCTGAATGGAAGTGAATATTCGGGCCAGGGAACCCCCAAACAGTAGAAAGACTGTGATGGCCGAGAGCTGGCCTGTGTGCCCATTGTGGTAGTTGGTGGCTGCCTGGAGCAGCTAAGGGAGGTAGTCAAGACTGTTGGTTCTGTCACCTGAACTATTTCCCATGTTCTTGTCACTAATTTCTCCATTCCCCTCAGTGTGACACCCCACTTTTCTACTCTGCCCTTAACCCGCCCCCCCGCCGCCCGCCAAGGCCTTATTCCCAGTACCCACCTTTCCCACCACCACAGCAGGTACATTGGAAGCCTGGAGCAGGGTAATCACTACCAAGGGTGTGAGTGGTGACAGCAGGACCAGCAGGACCAGTGCATAACAGGCTAGGAAAGCTACTCCTGGGGGTGGAGGAAACAAGGAGTCATCATTGACCTCTGTACATCCTTCAGTTTCCCCAGGCTTATAATTAGTAGGGTTCCCAAGAGTTGCAGCCTATTCCTGGCAAATTACCAGCACCTTTCACAGTCTGTCCTCTGTAGTGCATGATCAGGAAGCAGATGGTGATCGTCTGGAGCATCAGGAACAGGGCTTCACCCCAAGAGCTGCAGAGTCAAGAGTTGGGAGGAAGAAAGGAGGGCCTAGAAAGAGGCAGGGAAGACCTCCATGGCCCATCCATCTAGGGACACAATTTTCTGGTTACTTTGTCCTCTACAATCCCATCTCATTTGGAATCCTGGGCATTCTTGTGATGCTCACTTTTCTCTCATCACCTCCGTGGGTGATAACTAGATTTTTGGAAGGGCTTCAGCCTTTCTACCCCTTTGCCTTCCTCATCTTAACTCCCACTAGAGCTGTGGGCAATTACCCTTGGGGATGAATGGTGGACCCCTCACCTGAAGGGGAAGTTGTTGGTGATGCTGTAGACCATGGTCCCAGTCAGTGCCACTAGCTCCAGCATTACTGACTGGAGACTCAGCCCTTCTGCACTCTTGGCTCTCAGGATTTTAAATACCTGGGGCAGCTTTACTGAGGAAAGGATGAGAAGGGCAGAGTTGAGAAGCCTCCACCCCTTGGTAGCATGATACAACAGCTACAGAATGGACTGGGAAGCACAGTTAACCCCACTTCCAGTTAGGGGACCCATGCAGTTTATGACCTTTCAGCACCTCCACCCCAACCTTGACAGCAGTTATGATACATACCAAGAAGTGACCCAGCCACAATGGCCAGCCCAAGGCCTTTGCTGAGAAGAATTTTGAGACAGGGAACTGAGAAAAGAAAAAAAAAAGATGTAGAGAAGTCCTCTGGAACTCAAGTCCAAGGAGTGCTCCAGTGGGCTGTCTTCTTCCCCACCCCTCACCTTCACATGTCCACAAAAATAAGTTTGATCTGGAGATGAGGCAAACAAAAAAGGCAAAGGAATGGAAAATGCTCCAAACCATTTCCTATTTGTACTAGGGACTTTCCAAAACAGCTTTCTACCATAACACCTTCCCTCCCACCAGTTTTTCATTCTCTTTCTACAAATTAACAGCTAAACTCCTCAGTTTGATTTCCAAGGATCTCCACTGCTTCTCTCTCCAAAGGCAGGTCTCTATACATACCCATTCTTCAAGATCTTTATTTTATGTGGTGCTGAGGATCAAACCCAGTGCCTCATACATGCTAGGAACCTCAGCCCTCTATACCCATTTTTTTTTTTTTTTTTTTTTTTTTTAGTGTAGTTGGACACAATACCTTTATTTATTTTTATGTGGGGCTGAGGATAGAACCCAGGGCCTCCCATGTGCTAGGTGAGCGCTCTCTCCTGAGCAACAACTCCGGCCCCATATACCCACTTATTCTCGAACCCTGATTATTCCTGACCACCCTTCCTGGGCCTAATTTTATGCTCTAACTATACACAACTTCTCTAGCACTGAAGTCTTCCCCCAGGAGCTTGGTCCAGCGGGATTCATTCTTTTGGTGCGGGATTGAACCCAGGGGCCCTTAGCTACTGAGTCACATCCCACAACCCCTTTTAAAATATTTAGAGTCAGGGTCCCGCTGAGTTGCTTAGGGTCTCGCTAAGTAGCTGAGGCTGGCTTGGAAATCTCGATCTTCCTGCCTCAGCCTCCCCAGTCGCTGGGATTACAATCTCACTGATCCTGAGTGCACTTAGCACAATGTCCTGCAAGCACCAGGGAGGTTCCATGAACTGACAGGAGCAGATTTAGAAAGCTTCCCAGAAGGGAAGGCTGAAAGGAGAGTAACTGGGGTGCCAGGAGCCTTTGGGTGCTGAAGACCTGATTCATCATAAGCTTTGAATTAACCCTGCCAACGACCTAATAAAGTCTTAAGTTATTTGGCCACATTTTTATTTTGTTTTGTAAAATGTAAGTCTTCTCATCCTTCCTTGTCGCTAAAGCACAAGCTTCATAAAGTACTTCTTATGGAGATTCTCCCGATTGCCCAAATATGCGCCTTCCCTCCACAGAATCCCAGACACTTCCGCCCCTTTCAGAAGCGCCTTCCGCCCAACTCGCAGTGGCAGGAGCTACCGCCGTCACTTAGTCGCCAGTCAGGTCCCACCTACAGGTTGAGGTCGCTCAAGCAAGACTTTCACTGGAAGCCGAATAAAACTCACCATGAAGCAAGTCCCATTGGACGAAAAGCTGATCGTAGCATTCCTCGGGTAAAAAAATCGGCACCAGCACTCGCTTGACTGGCCCGTCTGCCTCTGCCGCCATGTTGGAAAACCAGCTTCCGCCAGTCTCCGTAGCCCGCCATTATACTCTGCGCATGCGTGCTCAGGCACTCCGCCTCTCCGTCCCTCGACGAAGCTGCACCGCCCCCTATTCCCGGCTCTTTCTCACGGCTTCAGCTTCAGCCGCGTAAAATAGGGCTAGTTCAGAGACCACGTTTCGGAGTGTTTTAAAGCGTGCGGGAGCGCTACGCCTGCGCAGTTAGACCTTCCGTGTCTTTGTTTACGCTTCCAATTTGGAAGCAAGATTTATCACTGCCCACCCCCCGCCGCCGCAGACGCCATCTTGTCTTCTCCCTGCCAACTTTATATTGTTCAAAGTTAACAGGAAAGGAATGATTCTCCAAAATGGCGTTGGGCGGGGCGCTATACCTTTATATTCCCCTTTCTCTTTAGATCTCCACAGGCAATGGCGCCGGCAAGAGCAGGCCAGTCGGAGCCCCATGTTTCTCCGTCTTGTGGGCCGGGTCCCAGGGACCGCTGGGTCCGGTACAATAAAGAGGAAGGAGCATGGGGGCGAGGGGCGGGGGAAGAGCCTAGTTGGGAGAGGGCAACCCCTGAGCCACCATGCGAGGCTCTGAGGTGGCAGCCTTCAGGAAATCTAGCAAGGGACCTCCTTTGGGGATGGTCCGAGGGTGCACTATGTACTGGGCAAGGATTTCAGCAAGAATGATTGGATCCAGCATCTGTCTGGGAAAGCGTATATTGGGACTACCCTTGCAGGGGCCCTGCTCTCTGCTACCCAGCACCTGGACGCTGGTTGATGCAGTTCTTTGCTTACCTACTCCTGGACACAATGACAGGGAATTTTTGCTTACGAGCCACTTGTACTACTTTGGAAGTGAAATTACATTCACTTACGCGTAACTTTGGCTATCTGCTGTACCTGTAATTGTACATGAGGACCAGGAATAAGGCTGCCAAGATGGATGGCTCCACTGGGTTGTAGGCAAGGGTGGGCCAGTGGCCCCAAAATGGAGGAAGTAGTCTGGCAGATTGAATAACTGCTATGCCAGACTTGGAGAGATGAACCCATGGGCGGGGCATTTGATCACATTGGTATTTTCATCCCTCCTCACCAGCTTTTTTTTGGCTCCTCGCAGCTGAACCATGTAAAACACAAAGGCATGTGACAAAAAATTCATGGCTTTTAATCCTGGCAGAACAAGGCAAATGAAGGACAAAGATTTGAGTAGGTTTTACCACTCTCCTACTGGGGAGGAGAAGCCTGTCATGTGTAAAGAAACCTTTCTCAAAAAAAAAAAACCTTTCTCCCTTCCTTCCTCCTAATTGCATTATCTCTATTTTTGTTCTTCAAGAAAGACTGGGAAGGAAGATAACTTTGTGAGTTAGTTGCATGGTGAGGAAATGAGGGTGCTCTCTGGTGCCTTGAAGTCCGGGCAGATGTTCAGAGGGGCTGGTAGGTGGATGGGCGCCTTCGCAAAATGCAGAAGGCAACAAGCACCAGGGTGAGGAGGCCAAGCAGGATCAAACCAATGATGAGAGGCAGGAAGGTGAACTGGTCACTGGGGCAAGAGAAACCTGGTAGAAAAAGATAGGGCAAGTGGGCATTGCAAGGATGGCAGCTGGGATTAAAGGCAGAGGGGAACGGAAATTAAGTAGACTGGTGAGAAGCTCATCATAATGACTTGGAGCAGCAAGTAAAAGGGGGAATCAGGCAGAATTTTGAAGAAGGGAGGAGAGCTGCCCAATAGTCATGACAAACCCAGGAGAGGAAGGAAGTCTGGGGTTTAAGAAGGGAGGTTTGGGGCTGGGGGTGGTGGTGCATGCATGTAATCCCCAAAGCAGGGGAGGCTGAGACAGGAGAATCATGAGTACAAAGCCAGCCTCAGCAATGACGAGATGCTAAGCAACTCAGTGAGACTCTGTCTCTAAATAAAATACAAAATAGGGCTGGATATGTGGCTCAGTGGTTGAGTACCCCTTAGTTCAATCCCCAGTACCCCCCCCCCCGAAAAAAAGGGGGGAGGGAGATTGGGCCTGGGGAAGGGGCTTCCAGTTCATGGGGCATATTCTAGGAGGGAAGGAGTAGGTAGGTCTTACTTGGTCCAAAGACCTCTGTATGGGGCAGCTGAGCAGCCTGTAGTCTCAGGGAGAGCAGGTCAAGGTGAAGAGCTGGAGAAAGAATGATGCTTGCATTTCTGCAACTGAAGCTCCGCCCCAGGGGTGCTTGGAGATCTTGAAGGGATGAATTCTGAGCTGAGAATGTCCACTCTGAGGGGTTGAGGAAAGGTCAGGTCCAATCTACTTTCCCAACCATAACTTAGTCTTTTAGGAAGTAGAGGGAGGTTTACTTACGTGCTGCCTGAGGAAAGGACACATTGTACTCCACAGCCATATAATTCAGGTAGACCATGCTCTGGCTCTGCTGCAAGTCCTAGGAGGTGAACAGGAAGGCTCAGGACAGCAGAGGAAGGAGTGAGGCAAGGGGTTGGTAGGGATGGCACAATGGGAGGGTGAGAGAAGGATGAGGATGAACTCATAGAACCATACCTGCTTGAATCCAAAGCTGAGCTGTCCGTAGGGAAATGAGAGAAACAGGTGGGGATGGGCTCCCTCACAGCCCCCTTGGACCTTGGTTTTGTTGGGGTTCAGTACAGAGACGCCCCAGGCCTGCGGAAGTTAGAGCAGAGAATCACAAGACTATATGACTCTACCATCTGAGGCTCCCCATCCCCTCTACTTTTCCTTCTTTTCTCTGAACTTGTCTCCTGCTACTTGGCCCTCTCCTCACTATTTTAGCTTTACCTTTCCTCCACTATGAGTTGGGTACAGGACTCGAATCTGAATCCGGGCTTGGAGCCGGACGCAGGGCTGGGAACCATTAGTCCACGTGTAGTCTCCTATAGCTTCCTGGGAGCTTGGACTAGGACTTGGAGAGGGTGGAGGTGGTCTTGGGTGAGGGGAGCTAGTGAGCCCAGGGCTGGTAGAAGTGCCATTGCTTGTTGTAGGATGAGTTGTGGCATTTCCAGGACTGGTGATGGTGGCAGGATTGTGAGTGGCAGTCGTGTGTCCAGGGCTGGTAGCAGTACTGTTGCTTGTTGGATGAATTGTGGAATTTCCAGGACTGCTGGTGGTGGCAGGATTGTGAGTGGCAGTCGTGTGTCCAGGGCTGGTAGTACTGTTGCTTGTTGGATGAATTGTGGAATTTCCAGGACTGCTGGTGGTGGGTCCTTGAGTGGTTGTAGGGGTTGCTGTGCTTTCTGTAGCTGTAGGTGTCACCGTGAAGGACGGCAGCAGAGTGGCCGATTTTTTGTGAGGACAGTCATTGCCTGTTTCCTGGGCTTTCAGTAAAGAGACTAGTTAACAATCCAGGGGCAGACTCCTTCCCAGGGACTCCTCCCTTCAGTTTCCCTGTTGTCCTTACCTGCTAGTAGCCCCAACAAAGCCAAGAAAAGTACAGCCAGCCTCATGGCAGAACTGCTTCACCCCAGGTCCAGCTAGGCTGTGCCAGCACCAGTTGTTCAACCCTATTCCCTTTGCCTTCTTGGAAGGAGGAAATGAAAGTCCCTTACTTCCTGTAACTAAGCTGACCCCACCCCCAACCTGACTCAGGCACCTCAGCTCCAGCCACCAATCTTAGTCATTAGTTTTCGAAATCAAGTTAGGGGATTATTGGCTCTTAGTCTAAGTAGGAGGTATGAGGGCAAAGTCAAAAGATGTCACGTGGGTAAAGATGGCACTCTGATATGTCTCCGGGATCATCTACTATTTGGAGTTAAGTGGTTATAGAAGGACTAACCTAGAAGAGGTGGGCCCCTCCCCAATATTTAAGCGGAGAGCAAAAAATACCTGGCTTTCACTCCCCTTTCCTCCAGTTACTTCCTCTTAGCTGGGGTCATGTGAGCCACTTGTGACAGTGTACCCAACCCTTTAGAGGGTCACATCATCATGTGTTAACACTATCATTTTCAGTTGAGAAAATAGCTCTATTATTTGGCAGCTCTTAATAGGAAGGCAGCATAGTGTTATCAAATAAGGTAAGCATGGTGGGAAAGGGGAGCTGCGCCACACCCAAGTTGCAGGTGGGAGAGGGAAGGGAAGAAATGAGAAGCCCAAACAGGCAGTTTCCAAGTCATTTTATTCAGAATTTTGTGTTTGTTTCCTGAATCAATAAATACTATACAAAACAATGTAAAAATGGCTACCATTTTCTCTCCCCTGCTCCTCCCACCTGGGGACAATCCCTTGGGCAACCTCACTTAGGGGTTCTCCTCGCAGATTTGGTCCAGCAAATGAGGTTGTGACGTTATAACCCCTTGAATCATTTGGGATTCAAGTGGGGTGGGAGAGCCTCTGAGATTTAGAGGTGACTAGGTTAGGGGCATGGATTAGTGTTTTCTGGGAGGAGACGGCGCCTGGGGCAAGAGCCTACCCCAAAGAAAAGGGTGTCTAAAATGTTCACGGTTCCTTCTTTTGCCTCAAAAAGTGACATTTATTCAAAGAAAAAAAAAAGAAAAAAAAAAGACAAGATGTCCATCCCTTGGCTCCCTTCCCTCCCCCTTCCAGCTGCTCCTTAGCCCCCAGGATTGAACCCTGGCTGGAGCTAGGTAGCAGGACAGCCCCTCAGATGAGGTCAGCAACATTAAGGGGCATCTCTTCAATGGAGGTGTTGTAGAAGGTCTCGATGTCTCGGAGAGTCCTCTTGTCTTCTTCTGTCACCATGTTAATAGCCACACCCTTACGGCCAAAACGCCCACCTCGACCAATTCTGGTGAAAAAATAATAATGGGAATGAAAAATAGGCCAAGGAGCACCAAAAGCTTTTAAGCACAGAAAGGGATAGAGATCTAGTCTAAGGAGTTAGGAAAAATAATCCCAGATCTACACTTACCTGTGGATGTAGTTTTCCCTGTTGGTGGGAAGGTCATAGTTGATGACTAAAGAAACTTGCTGCACATCAATGCCTCTGGCCTATGTCAAGAAAGATGGCAAATTCAGCCTGTGAATTAAGGATATGATCCATCCAGAGGGACTTAAATATGCATGTAGGCAGCCAAAGGAAGGCAAAGAAATCAAGTATCCTCTGTCTCCCACAGACCTCAGGCATGCCAGGTCTTCTTCCAAGTTGCTACTTTCCTGAGAGGCATTAGTTGGCCCCGTGGAGAGGGAATCATCTTGGATCCTCCCCTTTCCGGTCTCTTTACTCACCAGTAAGTCAGTGGTAATCAATACTCTGCTAGAGCCAGACCGGAACTCCCTCATGATCACATCTCTTTCCTTTTGGTCCATGTCTCCATGCTAGAAAGCATACAGAAGGTTCTACATAGCAGGTAGGTAGGTACATGGGTTTTGGGAAAATTAGTATGGCACAGACAACAGGGCTGTCAAGGGAAAAAAACCCACCATGGCAGAGACAGTAAAATCTCGGGCATGCATCTTCTCAGTGAGCCAATCAACCTTCCTTCGTGTGTTGATGAAGATCACTGCCTGGGTAATGGTCAGGGTTTCATACAAGTCACACAGTGTGTCCAGCTTCCACTCCTGTAGGTAGGGAGAGAAATCAGTCAGGGGCTATACCCAACAACTTGCTATCAGGTCCGCCTCCTGCACCGGGCCCCACCTCTCGTTCAACGTTGATGTAGAACTGGCGGATACCCTCCAGGGTCAACTCTTCCTTCTTGACAAGAATTCGAATGGGGTCCCTCATGAACTTCTTGGTCACCTCAAGCACATCGGAAGGCATTGTAGCTGACAACAAAACCACCTAATGAGGGGAAAAAAAAGTCAGGACTAGGGATGGTGAGACCAGATTCTTCTATAGTTCCCCTGCCACATGACACTGGATTTTCTTTATGCCAACCACACTATAATTCTAGAAATAGGGGCTAGGGCTGTAGCCCAGTAGTAGAGCACTTGCCTTGGATGTGGGAGGCACTGGGTTCGATCCTCAGCACCACATAAAATAAAATAAAGGTATGCTGTCCATTAAAAAAAAAATTCTAGAAATAATGACTAGGGTCTTTCTCACCTGGGTATTGCTGTTGAGCTTCTGGAATATGTCGTAGATCTGGTCCTTGAATCCACGGCTTAACATTTCATCAGCTTCATCCAATACAAACATCTTAATGTATTTGGGAGCTAGAGTAGGAAAATACCAAGATACAGTAATCAGAGAAATACAAAATACACTTAATTCTCTTGATAAAATAGGGAAGTAGCAGGCAGTCTGCTCTCAGAATACAAGGACTGATCCTTTGCCTGGGACCTCCCTGGAAGCCAGCCAGCAGCAGCCTAGGAAGTAGAACACTACCTGGGCTAAGACAACAGGGAAGTCAGGCTCAGATGACACGCATGGGGTTCATCATGGAGCAACTCATTTAAAAGCAGCAGCAGCATCCTTGGTAATAAGACTTGGCTTAAGGGGAAAGCATGCAGAAAAGGGAAGGAACCAGGGGACAGGAACATAGTACTCACACAGGTATCTCCGGTTAAGCATATCAAACACGCGGCCAGGGGTACCCACAATGATATGGGGAGCTTCCATCTGCAACTTTTGCACCTCAGCACGCACATTGGTGCCCCCAATGCATGCATGACAGGAGGCACCCATGTAATCTCCTAATGCCATGACCACCTTTTGTATCTAAACCAGAGAAAGACAGATACTTACATATTAGCTCTAATTGTGCCAGCCACCCCCCCCCCATTTTTCATGAGTTTGGTCTTCATTTCTTCCCAACAACTATTAAGTTTAATTTTGGGGTGAGAAACAGTTGTTAACCCTCTAAGATCACACTGCTCAATATTATAGAAACAATATCTGAACAGTTTCCTGAGTATACACTGATTCATAACAAAGCATGATTAAGTTTTTAAAGCTGGATGGTTACAACCCTTAACTTTCCTAACTCACAACCCATTGAATCCATCAACAGCCAGCTTTATGAACCACATGACTTCATGACACACATCTATGGTCTATTGCTAGAGAACCTAAACTAGGTGACATGTTCATTCTTAAAACAAGAAAAACAACAACAACAAAAAAAAAAAACCTAACACCAAACCAGATAAAACAAAGTGTTGCCAAGTTGCCCAGGCTGGCTTTGACCTTGCAATCCTGCCTTAACTTTCTGAGTAGATGGGATTATAGATTATGTGCCAGCATTTACTAATTTCTTGTTTACATCATTTGTGCCCATAAGTTCACAGCAAAACAATCACTACATCTGCCAAAGAACATTTCAGAATTTACTCCTTGCACTCCAAGAAAACAGTCCAATTTAGGATCTTATGTGCCCTAGGCATGAAACAGCTCTGGCCACAACACAGGCATCAAGCTAGGATGAACAAAGGACTATCTTCTACTCTGCCCCTGACTGATATAAGAGTAACACCACTAGTGAGGTGTCTCTTTGCCCATTGTCAGGGGGTTTGTTCATAAAATAGCCACCAAACTTGCCCAGCTAGCTAAGTCCCACCCAGCAGCCTTTCTATCTGACTCAGGAAATGGGCGGGAGAAGTGGCGGTGTTTGTGTTGGAGGAGGAAACAACTTATAATTAATCCAACAAATCCTGAGAACTAGAAGCCATCAATCCATTTTCCCTACCCCAGAGCATGGGTCAGAGAATACAGAGTTTTGGATTATATATGCTATCTCTAAACCAGTCCTCCAAAGAGGGCAGGGAAGCCAAAGCCACACTTACCTGCTGAGCCAATTCTCGAGTGGGTGCCAGTACCAAAGCTTGGGTGGCCTTTAGATCTAATTCAATCTGCTGGAGAATTGATATGGCAAATGTAGCTGTTTTCCCAGTCCCAGATTGGGCCTGAGCAATCACATCATAACCTGTATAGACAAATCAGAATTAAATGTGTCAGAAGGCATACAATTTTGGCACATTTAAGACAATTAAGCCCCAGCTTCATGAGGTCAGTAAGCAACCAATAGTTAACAAACCAAAAATTAAGTGTTTTGCCAACTTTACCTCTCAAAAATCAGAAGACAAGGTCAAGGTACTAGTTAATTCTGGATTAAACCATACTAGACTATAGCTATAAAAACAATCACAATGGCAACTGTATGAAAGAAAACGCTGCCGTTCATGTGCCCTAGGCATGAAACAGGAAATGGGCAGGGACCAAAAGTCAAGGTGGGATCAACAAGGGATCTTTTGCTCCACCTAATGAGATGATCTGCTGGTCACCACCAACTAGACTGATGCCATTCTACCCAGGTCAGGAGCAATCCAATCTATTCTGGGATTGAGAGATCTCACCCTTGATACAAGGAAGAATGGCTCGCTGCTGGATGGCAGAGGGCTTCTCAAAACCATAGGCGTAGATGCCACGGAGGAGGGACTCGGAGAGATTCATGTCATCAAAGCTGTCAACAATCTCATTCCAGTTACTCTGCCGAATGCAAAGAAATTAAAACTTAAAATAGTGAAATAGGTGAGTTTGGAACAAATAGAATCTGGCGTCTGCACCTAGACAACTCCCTCTCCCTCTAAGAAAGCCAGCTGGTTCTAGATAACTGAGAAATCACTAAAAAAGCCAATTCACATGACATCACACAACTGCAATAATAGGGCTTGTGGAGAATTCAAAAGACACGTTTTATAATCACCCCCAGAAATGTTAAGTTTCCCTGCAAAGCCTATAAAGGAGTTTTAACTCTACCTTAGAGTGGGGCTTTGCTGTTTGTAAGTTAATAAACTTGGATAAATCCCAAGTTCTAGTCTAACTGAAACCCAAGTCCCTACTGGACTACCAGAAACTAGAGCAAACTGCAAGTGGCACTGCCTGAAGAGTAGAAGCAGCAGGTCGGTAGTCTCACCTCGATGACACCTTCGGGCTCCATTCCATCGGGGCCATTGTCTCTGGATCTGTTGATTTAAGGTATGAGTTTTGTCCCCTGCCTGACTGAAGCACTTCAGCAAGCAGCCATGCATGATGCCATCAGCTTTCATTCCAACTCCCACCCGTTCAAGACAATTAAAAAAAAAAAAAAAAAAACGGACTCGGGCCTTTACCCCAGCCCGGCCGCCAACATAATGGGCTAATCCTCCTTTAAGACCCAGAGGGTGGAAGAAGGCTCGTCGCGCTTGCCGTGCCCGGATGTATTCCCTGCCATCGGGCCCACGTGTCCCGGGCCTGGCCGCTCAAAGCCCAAGCGCGTGCACCTCCCTCCGCACCTCCATCGCGCCGGAAGTCCCGCCCTTCACCTCCTAGATCCGAGGGTAGGACATCCCCTTCTCCCCCACGTCACTCCGCCCGCGCCCTCCCCCACTCCCTTCAGCCGATGCCCGCCCTCGCAATGCCCGGATGTGGGAGGCCGCGGGCGGTGGCGGCCTCGCGCACAATGAGCCCCAGCCGAGCTAGCAAAGGGGGAGATTGCACAACACTTAGAAGCGAAGCAAACTGGGGGAGGGGAACCCCTCAGGCCGCCATGTGCTCGCTCCCTCGACCACCCAGCGGCGTCTCCACCCCCCATGGAACAATCCACATCCCGCCCGCCCCCGTCGCGAAATGGCGTCGCCCTCCCATACCTCAGGCCGCTCACCCCCGAAGGAAAGTGGACCTGCCCATCCGCAGTTTGCCAAATGCCCGGCTTGTGCGGCAAAATGGACCCGCCCGCCCGGCGCCGGGTGGGCTCCTGGTGCCTCACGCGGCCGCTCCTCGGGGTTAGGCTCAGTCCTGGCCGTCAAGAAAACCAGCACACTGAACGGCCGGTTTCTTCTTCCACGACCCACATTTCAGCCGCGACGGAGCGACTGTCTGAGGACCCAGGCACCCCCGCCTCTAGCGAGTGGTACCGTCAGAATCCTCCGGAACCCCCGCGCACGAGCCCTCCCCTGGCACAGTGAGGCAACCGGACCGGCCGGATCCGGGCCACGTAGTCGCGGTAGCCTCTGCCTTTTTCCCACGCTAGGTCGCGACCTCGTCTCGCCACTCAGCTACGGGGCTTCCCGCACGGCATCGCCTCGGATCGAGGACTCGTAATAAGCCTCACTCGCTCGGCCCTAGCCGGGTTCTCTTTCCCTCTGCCTCGGGCCTGATGGCAGCGTCGACCATGGATCTGCCCTCTTGCCCCCCGGATCAGTCCTCCCGGCTTGGTTTTCCCCGCAACCCTAGTGGGCCTGGGGCGGTGGGCCTCTCAGCTTCCCCCGGGCGGGGCCCTCGGAAGGGAACGGAAGGGTAAGTAGCCACAACTCTTGCAAATGCTTTTCTTACCGGGAATCCTGACTCGCAGACATGATCCTTAGAAACTAGGGCGGAGTGCCCGCCTATCGACAACTTATAGAGCGCCCGACCCCGCCCCAGCCATCGCATTGGCTTGGCCGCCTCGGCCCCGCCTGCAGGCGCTCTGCAACCCGGCGTGACGTTAGCTCGTAGGCGCTACGGCTCGAAGCCACCATTGGGTAGCTTCGGCGCCTATCAAGGTGAAGGCCCGCCCCGCAGTCTCATTGGCTAATGGGTCCGCTTTTCTCGCCGGCACGGAAGTGACATACAGTAGTCGGGCCTCGAGGCCTGGCAGCCATCTTGGGGCCCTGCACCCTTACACGTGCGGAGGTAATCGTGCCTTAGTCATGTGGTTCAGGAGGTCCTATCACGCAAGGGGGGCGAGGTCTCAGCCTCAAGGGACTTCCGGGCTCCCGGGACTGCCACTTCCTTTTACCTGTGCTCCCGGTTTCCACAGGACTCAAATTTTGTTTTCCCTGGCAGCAAGGATAGATCCGACACCGCCCAGGAGTGTTCTAAGTTATGGGGATGACAGAATCAGAAGCGATCCTAGGACTTGTGAGGATTCCCCTGGCTGGAGGGAGGAGGAGGGTTGGAACTATTTCTGGGCTTAAAGGAATGTGGGGTAGCTGACATAAATCCTATCCAGCCTCCTCCCCAATCCCTTCGGCGTCCTCTTCCCCAGCTTCTGAGGCTCCCCCATTTTTTGCGGCTTACCTACTTTACCTTCTTTCTGCCCTCTGCACTCTGGTTGGGGGATTTGTTTGAGTGATGAAGATTGGGTGTTGGCACTGACTGAATCAGATATGGAGAGCTGGCTCCTGCAGTCTCAAGATCCCAAAAGGAATAGCTAACTGCACAGGTTGTAAGGAGTCCTGAGAGAGCATATCCTCTAGTTTGAGGCCCCTTAAGGAAGACCACCACTTATGTATCTCCAAAGGATCCTTTATTGACCAGAGCAGGACCGTGGCATTTATATATATATATATAAAAAAAAGTTTTGAAGATCTGGCAGGCAGTAATCCCTTTGCCGGCCCACCACCCCCACACTGATTTCCTGCCCCCTTGGCATAGAAGGGGGAATGACTGCTCCACCCAAGCCACAAGGCAACACTCCCCTGCAGAGAGGGAGAAAAGGACTTTCCCCATGGCCACCCCCTGCCCATCAGAAATCAACAAGTATTCTCTCAAAAGAAAAAAAAATACAGAAATCAATTAAAACATTTAAATATGAAAAAACCAAAGGGAATTGGATGGGGAGAGGCAGGAAAGGAAAGGAACTGGAGTATCTTGGGGAGGGTCTCCCAGGTCCCTCTGCCCATTAACGGGCCCAGGGCCTGGGGCTCGAGGCTCACACAGTGAGTTTGCAGTGACACAGCTCCTTGTAGATCTGCCGACGAAGTTTGGGCATGTCCTGCTGGGTGAAGCTGAATGGCTGAGACAGGGCCAGGTGCTTGCAGTACTGGGTGTTAACAAAGCAGGCCATGAGAACCATCTACTGGGCATCCCTCCCAAGTCAGGCAGGACCTGTGCTACATATTTCATATGAGATCTCACTCAATTTTTTAGAGACTATACCCATTTCACATAAGAGGGAGCCAGACTCCCATGGTCTAGAGTTCAAAATCAGCCTGGCTCAGATGTTACTGTTCTTTGTACATAATATACCTAGCCTTTAAGTGGAATAAAACATTGAATCAGGGGCTGAGGAGGCAGCTGTACCAGGGCCTCAAGCAGCCCAGTTCTACTGTGGGATAGAGAGGACCAATAAAATCAGGGTTTCTGTGTTCTAACAAATAAGGCTATTCCCTGCTCTACAGCTGGCTGTGAGCCAAATGAGACAACAGCCTCCCAACCATTTAACCCAAATGACTTCAGAACTGGAAGAGAAGGAGGCCCCATCATCTGCTTACCTGTAACACAAAGGCGCCACAGTCACTGTCATTGTTCTGCCTGGCTACATTCTAGAAAATAAAAGGTAGACCTATTCACCTAGAGAATCCCAGGGGTATGACTTCAATTTCTGCCTCCTACCATTACCTTCATCATCACCCCATACCCCTCCCCATGGAAACTCACCATTTTGAAGTAACCTTTCCATCCCTGGTGGAAATCCAGTCGGTCTTTCTTCACCGCCTCTGCCTGTAGATACTTGGCAATATGCTATGTGGGTAGGAAAAAAGAATAGTGATGCCTCACACTTCCTAACTTAACCCAAGGTATGACAGTGGTAAATACCATACCCAGGTTGCTCCTCAGAAACCCAAAGCCCACCATTTTTCCAGGAAAGCCTTGCCACTGGTTCTCCCTACATTTTTCCCACCTTCCTCCTACCCCTTTCAAACCTTGGGGCAGCGGCGGTTTAGGGTGCGCTGTGAGTCGAAATAGGTAATGGTGCGTTGCCTCACGTCAACAGAAATGAGGGACCAATGCACCTCCAGGTGGATGGGGATTAGCAGTAGCTCCTTATTGAAGATGTCCACCTGAGAGAGAGCAGCTGAGGTCAGGTAGAACACAAAAGGGTCCTGGTAATTGCCACAAGGGTTCTAAAGGGACATAAGGAGGACAAGTGAGAGAACACAATACCCAGGCCCTGCATTTTGAGGCAAGGCTCAACATCTGGACATTAGATTATTTAGGTAAGAGAGGAAACCAGAAAAAAGGAGGCAAGGGCATGCACAGGACCCTGGGTTTGATCCCTAGCACTGGGGGAAGAAAAGTCTAATGTTATGGCATGTGCCACTACATAGTCCCAAAACATTGGGTCCCAAATACTAGAAAGGCAGTGGAATCTCTTGAACTGGGGAATTCAAGCCCAGCCTGAGTGATATAATGAGACCCCATCTCAAAATAAATAGGTAAGTATATAAAATAAAAATAAAATGCTGTAGAAATTTCCTCGCCTGTCAACTGTAGGGCAGAGAAACCCATGAAGAAGAAAAATCTCAATTTCCTTCTCTTCCGATTTTCCCAGTTCACTTAGGCCAAGAATCTAAGAATTATCCTCCATTCCTCTATCTTCTTCATTTCCCACATCTGACCTGTCATAAAATTCTACTGGTTATACCTGTGAAACTTATTCTAGATGAAATTACTCTCACAGTCTCTCCAACCAACCCCACCTCCACTTTTAGCACTCCCATCTAGCAACTTCTCCTGGACTACTGTGCTTCTCTCCTAGCTAGTCTGCCAGTTTCCACTTTTGCTCCCTTTTAATCTGTTACTAGAACCAGCCTGCTTAACTCCAATGGCTTCTTGGTACACGTAATGTACCTCATTAACCTATCCTACATGCCTTACATGATCTCTCTGACCCAATTTTTCTATCTTTCTCCCTTTGTTCACTCTGCTCCAGTCAAATAGGCTACCCACACAGGCCCTGCATTCCTCAACCATGTTGTTTCTCTTTGGGACTCATTTATATAAATGAAATAAAAGTTTTCCTCATTTAATACTGCATCCTTGGTGCCTATAACAGTTCCTGGCTCACGTAAGTATTTAATATTCGTAAGACTGAATGAACTTGGGAAAGGGCTTATAGAAAACCACTCTAATTTTTTAGAAGCAAAGCATTGTATAAGTAGTTATCAATTAATAACTTACATTTTTGGTCCACCTTTTCACCCCATCATAACCCTTGGTACGAAGTTTATCATAGAAGAAACTGTTGAAGAAATGCACCTGTGCCAATGACACATAGAGTTGGGTGAAATTAAAAGACCTGAGCCTACCACCAAGTTTCCCCTTCCTTCTTCTAGTCCACTCCATTTCATATGGCTCTAAAGATTGGTTCGAACAACCCCCACTTCAAATCCCTAAGAGTGAAAAAATGTTTTGTTTTGTTTTTTTTATATAGGTTCCCATTCCAATTCTTTTTGAGTTAGCCATAAGGAAAAACATTAAAGGCTGGCAGAAGGGAAAAGAATTGGTAAGTCCAGAGCCAAGATTAGAGATTTGAAATGGATAACTTCTACCACTTTTTCCCCAGAAAACAGAAACCCTCTTTATATAAAATGGAAGAGATGAACTGAAAACTGCTTAGAATTGCCACTGTTCTGGGGACTAAACTATGTGGTTGGACCTACCTTTTCAGGAACTGTGTCCATGACCAGGTCTCCATACATGTTCATCACCTGGGAAGAAGATGAGAGGCAACTTGCCATGGAGGGTGTGGCTTGAGTACCAGGCTTCCCCACTCAGAGGGCCTCAGACACCCTTCTCCCAGAATCTCCACTCAGGCTGCCTCTCCACCACTTCTCACCTGGTCATTAAGCCAGTTCTGTCCATACAAGGTCCCCAAGTCATCCATGGTCAGCACATGCCGCTTATAGGACACTCGGAAGCCTCTCACCATGGCATTGCCTGGCATACGCTGGTATGACTGGATCAGCTGCAGTACCAGGCCCTTTCTGAGTAGGCCAAAGGTGGAATCACACAAGAGATGATGGAGCTGGGGCATACAGAAATACCTACTACTGCCTAGAATAAGAACCTAAAATGACTTTCTTTTTCTTGATCATGGATCCTTTGGAGGACCTGAAAGGGCCCATTCCCGAGAAAGAGATACATGAAATACATAATATTTCAGGGTCCCAGGTGAAGACCCTCCCAGTTGGCTTATAGGGACTTGACACCTTGCCTGCAGATTCCTCCCCTTCAGCTCTAGTTTCCTCCTCCCCAAGTACATACCTATGGGAGATAAAACAACAAGCATTCTATTCCTAACCCCTAGGTCCCAGCACTCCTTTAAAGAAAATCAGTCCCTCAAGCCTTACCTGGAAGGCGTGGAGAACTCCTGCTGGAAAATGTCCTCCAACTTCTCTACCACCTCATCAGTGCTGAGTGGGATGAGGCTGCCATAAGTTTGAAGGAATTCATCCAAGATGCCTGGATAGAGAAGAGAGGGAAGTGAGACTTTGCTCTAGGAGTTGACCAAGGGAAGGAGGCTAGGTCCACTAGGGCTTACTCTGGACACAGGTCACATGCTCCTCCCGCAAGGGACTATGCTGGCCAGCTTTCTCCCCGGGCCGCTCTGCTTCTTCCCCAGTGCTCAAATCAGGACCCTGAAAGAGCTCCTGAGCCACATGGTCCCCGATGCTGCACACATTGCTGATGAGGATGCTGGCATCAGGGGGTGCCAGGCTGCGCTCCCCTTCTGACCCAGGTGGTCCCCCAAAGCCATTAGGCAAAGTACACGAGAGGAGGCCTATAAGGCAGGGGAAATAGGATGGGGATGAGAAATTAGCCCAGCTGAAAGAATAATGGGAGGATTAACTAATGCACACAAACATAATTCCACAAAAAGGATGAATTAAAGCAGAATCTACCAATATAAGCCTCAAGGTAAGGAGACACCCCCCCCACCCCCGCCAAAAAAAAACCTAAAGCATAAAATAAGGATGTCCAAGAGGTTCTAATGAGAAAGCAGGAGTTCCTATTCGCAGATGGGAGGAAATCAAGAAAAGACTGGAATCAGAAATATAAATTTCAGGAATATGTTACTACTCTACACTTCGCATGTAGCCTATTGCCCAACCTATGATAATGGCTCAACAAATACTTGAGTCCTTAATAAAAGATGTTAAATTGTTTGGCTGGAGTTCTCTGGAGGTGAAGTATTCTGAGGAAGAATGTTACAGACAAACATAGAGATTATGTACTCCACTACCAGGAGGGGGTCCCATGCTACCACTATGTAAACAGTGTCCTCTGGAGATGTACATGCTGGAGTTCTGATTTGAAGTGGATAAGTTTCCTAAACCATAGCTCCCTTTCTCATCTGTACTTAAGACCACAGGACTCCAACTTAGGGGTTCTATTTCCCAGCATGATCAGTTAGTCTTATTTCCTGCTTAAAGTGAGGTTTAATGAAGATGTTTCTCAGCTATTTCAGACCCCTCACTCTGCTTTCCTTAGGCTTGATTCTCACCACAGCAAGTGTCTCCTGGTGCTCCAGCTGCTAGCCCTCCCCACTTCACCCCACCTCTTTCCCACCTTACCCGAGTCAGGGTCCAGAGGAGACTTTGGAGTCCACCTTAGTCCATCTTCCTCCATGGGGAGCCCAGAGGGCACTGGTGGAGACCCTCTTACCCCATCCTCAGCCATGAGAGCACCTAGCAGACCCAGCCGGGGCGGGGGTGGCCCCCGGGGGGAGTCAAAACGACAGCAGGGGGATGGCACCTGTGGCGTTGCACCCCCTTCCTGGGGTGAGAGATGGTTCTTGGGGTGTGTGAGGCTCCGCCGACGACCCCGGTGGCGCCCCCAAAGCTTCCAGTGGAATGTCAGCGAGGTGCTTTTTGAGTAGAGCAGCATCTGGAAGGCTCTCATGGCTCGGCGGCGGCGCTGTGAGCAGGTTTTTCGATGAGTGGGGCGGGGAGGACGAGGCCTTTGGGAGGCTCCTAGTTGACCCCATCTGGTGGGCAGCCTCCAAGCTGCCACTTCCTCTTCTTCATCTTCATCTTCTTCCTCCTCCTCTTCCTCCTCTTCACTAGCTGAAGCATCAAAAGAAGGCCGAGGGACAGGTAGGCGTCTGGCTGGCACTGTGGTCCCTGACCCAGGATCTGGCCCAAACCCTCCACCAGACTTGAGAGGGGGTTTAGGTGGTGGGGGCCAACGAAGACGCTCCCTCCTGGGGCTCGAATAAGCTGTGCCAGGTCTGGGAGGCTCAGGCCCCCAAGACCCGGTCCCTTGTATAGTCTCTTTCATGTTTCAGTACCCTGTAAAACAAAGGTTAGAGTATCAGAATCCAACATCCTGCCCCTGATTCTTCTTCCTCAGCAAGCCCTATGGGATTCACATGCAAATAAATAGAGAAAAAATGTAAAACTCATAACTTTAGCTCTTCCTAGTTAATGTGATCCACAAAAAGGCCTTTAGAGTCTGAGCCATTATCTCTCCCTTACCCAGATGGAGGCAAGGGAAAATGGCTAAGCAGCAGGCCTAAGTGATCTTATTTCTCAGCTCTCTGGGTGAAACCCAGTATTTCCAGGCTCCACTCTCCATTTTAACATAACCAGGTGTTCTTTGAGAGCCTAATAAAGGTGAGCTTGCTAGTGGAGAATGTCCAATATAAGATCCCTGACATGGTGCAGAGGTATCTGGAGAGAATACAACTTTCACAGGTGAACTGCCCAGACTGGGAAGACAGTTCCCTCCCAGTCTGGAATTAATGCGGGGGAGTGGGGTGAGCACTCTCAGGTCATCTCAGGTGGGAATGGAGGCGCTAGGTATATGGCTCAGAGGTCAGAATCTGATGAAAGGGAAACAATTTTGAAGGAATCTAAAAGAAAACCGAATCGGTGTTTACGGTACCGAATCAAGGTACTGGGACAGAACCGAGCCACGTGAGCCAGGTCAGCCCAGCCCCCTCTCCTACCCCATCCCCGGGGACCAAAATGCGTCCCAGCACCGTAAGACTGGACAGCTAGGCTCACAGGGGCTGAAGACGCCCCGTCGAGGGCCTCTTGGCCCCTGTTCGGTAGGAGCGAGGCTCAGGAATGGGACGCCAAGGCAGGGCGGGGGGAGGGGAAGAGGCGTCCTCACCGGAGCGGGGAAGCCGGGCGGACGGGCCCGAGGGCGGGCGTCTCCGCCTCAGGCTTCCCGGCTCATCTTTCCGGCGCCGGCGGCGGCCCCGCCACTCCTGCTGTCCTCAGGCGCAGCCGTCTCAATTCAGGATTACAGGGTTTCAGGGCCGCGCACCGCGCGACCCCGCCGCGACCGCCTCTTGCTCGGCTTCAGCCTCTACCTCCTTCACCACCACCACCACCACCACCACCTCCTCCCCCGCCTTCTCCTCCTTCCCCTCCCGCGAGCCCCAGGCCCACCGGCGCTGGCGGCGCACAATTAGTACGTCACACCCGGCGAACGGCGCCGGCGCGGCCACCACGCGCCCAGTCCCGCCTCCACGCGCCCAGTCCCGCCTACCGGAGAACGTAGACGCCACGGGAGCGTCCCGCCCCCAGGCTCTACGCCAGGCTGCGCCTGCGCACACCCCCGTACCTGGCCGCGCGTGCCGGCCCCACAGCTCCGCTGTTTGCGCCTGCGTGTTGTGTCTCGATTCACGCCCTTTTGCGTTCGGCGCTCGCTGGCCTGAGCCTGGGGGACCCCAGACCCTTGTCCAGTGGGGCGCGTCAGGGCAGAGGCAGGAGGGCAGGGAGGTCCTGATACAGGGAGCGACTTGAGGCGAAATACTGGGGGACTTAATTCTTTTATTTTACTTTAGCGATTGTTGAATAAAAAGAGCTCAAAAGAATGAGGTGAACACCAGCCAGAGCGTACGGCACATCCAAGGATCATCTGACCACCAGTCTAGCCTGCCACGCTAGGGGAATGGAGAGTATTAAAGGAATAACTTGGGACCCGACTGGGCGCGGTGGCGCACGCCTGTAGTCCTAGCGGCTGGAGAGGCTGAGGCAGGAGGCTCACAAGTTCGAGGTTAGCCTTAGCAAGTTAGGGAGGCCCTAGCCACTTAGCAATACTCTTTCAAAATGGAAATGAGCTGGGCATGTCGCTCAGTGGTAAAGCGCCTCTGGGTTCAGTCCCCAGTACCAAACAAAAAACTTGGGACCCTAAGTAATGTGGTCGCAAAAGGACCTTCGTCATTGGGCACGCCCTACAGACGGACGCATAATAGATACATCTCTGGAAATAGTGACGGAATGTGGGGCCCAATAGATGAAGTGAGAATGAAGTTTCTCATAGAGTTTCTTCAGAGGGTACCTGAAGAGGGGTGTGGCATTAGGAACTGAGATTTTCCCTGGATGAGGGAGGTTTAGTGGACTTGTGCCAGCAGGCAGAATGATTCCCTCAAACTGCCGCTAGATGGTAGTGCTGTTCTGGATGCATTCCAGAGGACCCACAGCACGTTTGGACAATGCCTGGCATCCACCTCCCAACCCCCCTACACACACACACACACACACACACACAAGAATTTGGGGCGATGGGAGATGAAAGCAAGATATTCTGCCTCTTTAATATCCGTTAAGTCAAAATCTAGGATTGGGAGTGAAGAATGAGTGGACTGAGTGATGAAGTCAGACCCAAGTAGAGGCTTCTGTTTCTGCCCATTCCCCATCTTTTGTCTAGCCAGCTCCTGGCTGTCTCCAATGTGTACCCCCACTGGTCTTCCCATTTCAGAAGCACCTTTTGTAACAATCATAGTTTCACAAACCCTAGGAAGGTTCCATGTGGAGAGAGACTAAGTTTCGCCTTTGCCCGGGGAATTAGGACACTGAGAATATCCCCTTGGTGTAAATGGAAGACACCTGAGAAAAGGAGAAAACAGATGCTCAATGAAGCACAGCCATCCACATACTCTGATGTTTCACCCTGCCTTCTCCAGCTCCACCTTTTCTATGCTTCCTCTAAGGACCTAGGCATTCAGTCCTTCATTCCTCAAATCTACCTCTACACCCAGGCTTCCACTGTCTAGTTCAGCGATGTCCTCTGCTCACATCCGACTTCCACTGCTTATATGATTCTCACCTGCACTATAGCAGCTATTGTAGGCCCGGTCAGGGTCCGAAGGCATACTGCATATACATCGGAATAGAATTTCCTGTCTTCCCTGGCCCTCCCGAGACACCACCTGACCCATGGTGAAAGTCACATCATGAAACAGGACCTGGCAGGGAAGAGAGAAGATGTTGAAGAAAACCAGGATGGTATGACCATTCTGAGACAGCTCTGGAGCCCTCACAGGAGCTAGGAAATGAATAAGGGTCTCCCAAGTTTGGTATGAACAGAAGGATCAGGAACCCTCAGTATGGGGTATACAGGCTTTGGGAGAAGAGTAAAGAGATAGCCTCCAGGCCCCCATGTGGAGTTCAGGGTATGCCTGGAGTTACCTGGCTGTACAGCAGATAAACTCCAGCGTCCCAGACTCGCACAACGTATCCTTGGGCCTCCAGGCCTCTCCCACGCCTAAGGGCTGGTTGCCACATCACCTCTGTCACATCAGAGTCCTCTGGAGGTGAGGAGTGTGGCTGTCAGGATTTCTTTACACCCTAGACATTTATCATCTCTCATCTTTTCACCTCTAAGATTCTCTTGGGCCCAGATACCAGCCCCAAAATTCCTTGCTTGTGCCTCTCCCCAAAGTCATTATTTAAAATAATGCTCACCTTTGGAGGTGATGTTAATGGGAACAAGATGCAGAACTGAACGCCTCTCTGAGAAGAGAAGGAGGAAATCTCAGTTGGATTGTCTACCTCAGGTGCCCTGATGTCTGCCCTCCACCCTCATTTAGCTCAGGTTAAATATATATATATATATAAATCTGATCCCCACATTACAAGATCACCTCCCACCCCTGCTGTGCCCAGGGCTCACTCTTCCGCTTCTGGGTAAGCACTGCTCTCCTTCTCCGAGATCTCTCCCCACTCGCCCAGGCTTCCAGGGCTTCAGGGCTCTGCTTATAGAAAGAGGGTCAAGGTAAGACTAAGATGCAACGACCCCAGACAGCCTTCCTTCTCAGTTCTCCTCCAAACTAGGAATGCTTCAAATCCCTCATGCACCTTTCCCCAGCACCCTGCGTCTTGGTGCTGGCTGCCCTCCAGGATCTGTTAGGTACAAGAAGCATTAATCTTTAACAGTTTCTTTTTCTGGAATGGCCGCTCCCTTGACTTCCAAACCTGGGACCCTCTCTTACACCTATTTGAAACTTTGCAGACCATAGCTCAGAGACCTAGAGACCCCCTGACACCCATTCTTCTCTCCCGGACTCTCATTTCCCCTCACTCACCTGCTCTCGGAGGCTGTGCCAGGGATACCCTTCTTCCTTCTGTGAGGGACCTCCGTTTCTCTGTAGCCGGCTCACCTCCCTCCTTAGGCTTTGCAGCTCTGTTTGTTGGGTCAGCAGAGCAATGGCACAAGCCACAGCCCCCAGAGCTGCCCCCCAACTCAACCAGAGTGCAACCGAGAGTGCCGGCTCTCGGACTGGGCCCCCCATGTCGCCCGAGGGCCCTTTGGGGGCTAGCAAGAAAGGAGACGAGGCTGGCATGAGCCCAGGACCCTGCTAACAGCTGTGTCTTTAGGAATGGAGGGGCAAGGAGGTGGCAGGGAGGGTGGGGGTACAGGCAGTGGTGCAGAAGGGAAGAGGGTGTTACGCAAGGGAGAAATAAAAAGGAACTTGAGAATAAAAAGGAGGGAGGAGGAAAGCAAGCTAGGTGCTCCTGGCACCCCTCTGTAGGGCTAGTGTCTCCTTGAGACCCGCCCCCCAGCCTCAGGAGAATTTGGTGCCAGTCTCTCTAGGAAGGACGGGGCTGCCAGTGACACCCAGGAGGAGCGGCCAGAGCTCAGGAACCCAGGGGCGGCCCCAGTGTTGGGGGAGGGAAGGCTGGCTGGCCATGGGGCATGGTGCCAGGCTCAGGATGGGGGACAAGCTGGGCAGTGTTGAGGACCAGGGGATGAGGACAGAAGACCCTCTGGCTCAGGCATGCGAGAGACCACTGGGGAAGTTTTCTAGGGGCAATTGAAGGTGAGAAAAGGAGGTGGGAGTCGCTGGAGAAGAGAACCAGGAATAAGAAACTGGCTGGGTGCTGGGGTTAAGGCCGGGCCGGGTGTGTTGGAATAAGGCCTGCACTACTCCCTGTGCTGAACTTGGCAAGCAGGACTTCCTGTTTCCCAAGAAAAGCTCTTACATAAGGCTCTGGATAGAGACAAAGAAGCGGCCCTAAGCCCCCCAGCCACTGCAGAACTCCTCCCCAGGACCCCAGGAGCCCATGTTTTCTTGTGCCTGGTCCCCGGCATCCCATCTATGGATTCAGAGACCCCTCCAAGCCAGCTCCCACCCCATCTCCCAGCCAGGGCATGTGCCAGCACCTGCTGTATGTCCTAAGGCCGCCAAGAGGAAGGGCCCCTGCTCCTCCCTGCCAGGGATTCCCCCGCAGGAGGAAGTCCGCCTCCTAGGGAAATGAGGCTGCTTCTGCAATACCTGAGCTGAGGACAGGTTTTTTTTCTTGAGCAGTGCACATTTCTGCTTTCTTCTGACAACTGTGGGCTGGAGGAATGCAGGTCCCTGCTCCCCAGTGCTCAGACTCCCTCCCCATGACTCTCCACTACCGTGGGTCCCAGTAAAGAGAGAGACCATGACTTGTTCTCTTTAATATCCACTTATCAATATTTTGTTACAATAATAATAAAAATAATATCTGTTTTCAAAATCCACAGGGAATTATCAAGGGAGGAGCTTGTCTTGGGCTCTTACCCCTCACATTTGGGAACTCCTGGCCTAATCCCAGGTTTTTTTGCTTCCTGCCACCAGGTCCAGCCTCTCTTAGTGCCTGAAAGCAGGGTCTTCTGGACCCCTCCTTGCCCATCCTTGCCAGAAAACACAGTGTCCTGGGGGGGCTGTGGCTAGGGGGGAATCAAGGGATGAATGGGAATGGGGGTGTGAAAAGATAAGGGCTTTGGGAGCTAGTGAGGTGAAGAGCAGGGAGGGGCGTTGTAAGAGAGGAATGGGAATGTTTATGAGGGATAAAGTGAATAAGCCCTGGCAGCCTATGGAGGGAAAGGCAGGTCTGGAGCTTAGGTGGGGCAGAAGAGACTAGGCACTGAGAGAGCTGCATGGGGAGCTGGCAGCTGGAAAATTTGCAGGGCCCCTCAGTGAACCTGGAAGAGTCCAAAGTAGGTGAGGAAGGGAGCAGCCTTGAGATGGGCCCAGGGGAGGGTGCGGATCCGCAGGGAAGATCCTGACCGCAGGGGCAATAGCCCAGACACCTGGCAGAGATGAAGCTGGGGCCCAAGGGAACTCGTTGCTGTGGCAGAGAACTCCTCTAGGCAGCGCAGGGCCAGCACGTCATCCACCAGCAAGTCCAGCTTCAGGTAGACAGCCTTCCCCTCATCAAAGTGCACCTGGGGTGGGAGAGGGCGGCAGAGTCTAGGCCTCTGCTTGCCCTCGCCTCAGTTTCAAATATCCTTAGAGACCCAAGTATCCCATTTTTCCAAAACCCCAAACTCTCCCTTCCCAGCCTTGATCTTGACCTCTTTGTTTCCCCGCAAACCAAGCCCTTCTCCCCTCAGTTTCTCCTTTACCCATGTAGCCAGGTGGGTCTTACCTGACAGTATAGGTAGTAGAGCCCAGCCCTGGTGACTCTAAATTCCCCAATCTGACGGTCATAGCGCAGAGGGTTGGAGCTGTTGATTTTGGCTTCCTCCCAGCCACTCACTGTCCCATCCACACCTGAACATGGATGTTCAAAGATAAGGAAAAGTCCCTTTACAGGACTCCCACACATTCCCCAAGGATCCATTAAGCTAATAAACATTTGGGGCCCACCTTAATCCAGAAGAGAGATCAACTGCCCAAGGTATGGGAGGAGCCATGACCTATGCAGCCCAAAGTAAAATTGGACATTGTGTGAAGAAATCTAACATATATGACCAGGAAGATTCAGGACAAAATTGTCACCCGATTGTTTCTGGGGAGCAGAGTAGGATTTAAGGAAAAATGAGGGCTTTTGCATTTTCTTCACCTGTGTCTACATTGTTTGCCTCTTTTATGTTGAATATGTGTACATACATTACTTGAATCATTATAATTAAAAAGAAAAAAATGACATCCCAATGTTCATAACCTGTATGAATAAAATGTGGTTTATTCATACAATGGAATATTATTCAACCATAAAAGGAATAAAGTATTGGTGTATGCTATCATGTGGCTGAACATTGAAAACATTATGCTAAGTGAAAGAAGCCAGTCCCAAAAGGACCACATATTTTATGATCCCATTTATAGGAAGTGTCCATAACAGACGAATCTAGAGAGATAGAAAGTCAATTATTGGTTGCTTAAGGCTAGGGAATGATAATAGGAGGTAATGTCTAAGGAGCCTCTTATGGAGGTGAACAAAATATCCTAAAATCACTGTGATGATTGATGGTTGCACAATTCTGTGAATATACTAAAAAACTATTGGGTTGGGGCTAGGGGTATAGCTAAGTGGTTACAATTCTTTCCTAGCATGGGTTTTTGATTCTGTCCCCAGTACCAAAAACAAAAACAAACAGAAAAAAAATTAGGTTATAAATTTTAAATGGGTGAATTATATGAGATATGCATTATATCTCAAAAAATCTATTATCAAAAAACAAACTCTATTGGGAGGCTGAGGCAAGACGATCACAAGTTCAAAGCTAGCCTCAGCAATGGCGAGGTGCTAGCAACTCAGTGAGATCCTGTCTCTAAATAAAATAGAAAATAGGGCTGGGGAGGTGACTCAGTGGTCGAGTGTTCCTGAGTTCAATCCCCATACCAAAAAAACCCACCAAAACTCTAGAGGGTTTAGGGATGTAGTTCAGTCACAGGGCACTTGCCTAGAATGGGCAAGGCCCTGAGTATCATCTCCAGCACCACAGAAACAAACAAAAGGAAAGAAAGAAACCCCTAGGGCTAGGGTAATTGCAAATTGCTAAAGAAATAATAATGGAGGGGGCCTGGGGATGTGGCTCAAGCGGTAGCCCGCTTGCCTGGCATGCGTGCGGCCCGGGTTGGATCCTCAGCACCACATACAAACAAAGATGTTGTGTCCGCCGAAAACTAAAAAATAAATATTGAAAAACTCTCTCTCTCTCTTTTTTTTAAAAGAAATAATAATGGAGTATCAGGTGGTTTCCAAGTCACCAACCCAGCCCAAGCTTGCTGTCTGTTTCCCCAATCTAATCTCACACTCTTCTCTAATCACTCCCTCCCACCATCTGGCCTTCATCCTGTTCCTTCCAGGCACCAAGGTCATTCTCCCTCCCTGCAGGGCTTCTTCCCTCTTCCCAAGATTCCTCCCTGGCTGGCACCTCTGCCTTTTGGGTCACCCAGTTTTTAAAAACCAGCCCTGCTGGGTATGGTGATGTACACCTGCAACCCCAGCAAATGGAATATTATTCAACCATAAAAGGAATAAAGTATTGGTGTATGCTATCATGTGGCTGAACATTGAAAACATTATGCTAAGTGAAAGAAGCCAGTCCCAAAAGGACCACATATTTTATGATCCCATTTATAGGAAGTGTCCATAACAGACGAATCTAGAGAGATAGAAAGTCGATTATTGGTTGCTTAACCCCAGCAAATTGGAAGGCTGAGGCAGGAGGATCACATATTCAAGGCCAACCTCAGCAACTTCACAAGGCCCTAAGCAACTTAGTAAGACCCTGTCTCAAGAGAAAAATAAAAAGGGTTGGTGATGTAGCTCAGTGGTAAATGGCCAGTATCAAAAAAAAAAAGTCAGCCCCATCCCTGCCTCCATTAATCTCTTCCCTCTTCTCTTTCTTTCCTAGCAGTCATCAACAAGCGAATATATCTCATTTATTCATCATTCATTCATGTGTTTGTTTGGAATCTGACTACCCCATGAGAGCAAGGATGATTATCTCTTTTTTTTTCTGCAATACTGGGGTGATAAAACCCAGGGCTGCCCATAAATCAAGTGCTCTAGGACTGAACTACATCCTTGGCCCTTTCTTTTTCTTTCTTTTCTTTTAGTTGTAGATAGACACAATACCTCTATTTTATTTATTTATCTTTTATGTGATGCTAAGGACCAAACCCAGTGCCTAACACATGCTAGGTGAGCACTCCACCGACCACTGAGCCACAGCCACAGCCCTTTCTAAAGATTTTGTTTTGAGGCAGGGATTCATTAAGTTGTTGAGGTTGGCCTCTGGGGAATACAGGCATGCTCCATGGTGCCTGGCTTCACATTACCTTTCTTTCTTTTTAAAATATTTTTTAGTTATTGATGTACCTTTATTTTTTATTTATTTATATGTGGTGCTGAGGATCAAACCTAGTGCCTCATACATGCTAAGGCAAGTGCTCTGCCACTGAGCCACAACCACAGCCCCTTCATATTACCTTTCTTTCTTTTTTTAAACATGGAGGGTATTTTTTTTTAACCACCAACAATGAACAAAAAATAAAATTCACTCACTCTGTGCTATTTCAAAATTTCAGTGTTAGTTTTGTATGCCCTCCCCCCACCAGCCCTGTTGGTAAGAAACTAAAACATTACACCTGGTGAACAGGAAAGATTCACTACGCCTCAAATGTAGAACACCTATGAAACAGAGGAATGTTGGGTTTTTATACAGAAGCACATAAAAAAAAAAAAGATGCAGGACCCTTCAGTTCTTCACTATTCTTAGAAAAACTTTCCAGAATACTGCTTCACACAAATTCACCATTAGTTTCCGTGTTGGGGAAGGTTTCCTTTGGCTGTTCAGCTTCCATTTTCTTGTATTAAGTGGACAATTGAGTGAATCTGCCATCCCCTCATGGACCTGAGGCCTTAGCTGGTCACAGCACAACTCTCCCGCCTTCTTGCACCCTCCCACTTCACATTACTTTCAATGGCCTACCTGAGAATGACTTCCAAACTCCTTTGTGACCTGGCTTCGTCTTCCGCAGCCTCATAACCCACCCTGTTCTCTAGCACTTTCTGCTTCAGCCACACTGAACTTCTTACAGCCCCCAGCCTGTCAGACCCTTGGCAAACTCCAGGCTTTCACATGGTGATTCCTTTGCCTGCCACACCCTGATCCTTGGCCACCTTACACTCAGGTTTCAAAGCCCAGTGATGCCTCACTGTCATAGGGAAGGAGTCCCTGGTTCCACTCTGAAGTTGTTTTGTCTTCCTCTATCCTGCCATGGATCTTTGTCTACTCTGAGTGTTGTCCTTGTCACATGGCACTGTAATTACATATTTATATGCTGTCTCCTGTCCTAGACAGTGACTTCTTGAGCACAGGTGTGGGTGTGATTTGCTAGGGTCACCTAGGCTGGTCCCTAGCAAATAGCAGGTTCTTAGTGCGTGTGTGTTCAGTCAATGAATGAATGGATGTCTTGGGTAACTGCCAAAATAAGTGAACTATACTGAGAGGTGGAGGGCTGGCCGGGCCATGAAGAAGAGGGAGGGGAGAAAAGGAGGGGAGGAATCCCAACTATGGAACCAGCTTGAGCAAAGCCTGGTTGTAACCAAAGGGCAGAGTGTGTTTGAAACTATGGTCACACAAAAACTTCAAATGGATATTCTGTGCTGCCTGGCCACCCACTTGCCCCCACCAAGCAGGCTTTTGTTTTCCCAAAGACAATGATTTGGTACCGTCTCTCCTCAAACCCCCTGTCCCTATCTCCCTAGTTCTCTGAAGGACCTAGAAGTCCTCAGATAAGGGCTCTCTCACCCCCCACACCAACAAAATCTATAAACCTACCTGTTCTCTCAGACTCCTTAGACCCCCTTGTGATGGTGGAAGATGTGTCCTCTCTTCCTGATGGAAAGCATACCCTCCCAATGTCTCTTGGACATTGCCCCTGCAGGATCCCCAACCCTCACCCCAGCAAATATACCTCTCATGTGGACCATGTCCAGCACATGAGCACACTCTAGCTGGCTTCACAGCCTGCTTCTTCCTAATATCATTGTGACCTTGGACAAGCTGTATAATCTCCATCTTTAAATAGAGGTTACCAGAACATCCTTCTTTTAGGGCTATTATGAAGATCAGACAGAATCAAATAAATGAGAGCTAGTCATAGTCCAAAAAGCACTCAATAAAACTAAGAGGAATACAGTATTGCTTAAAATGACTAAATTTTTCTGATGCACACTTCCCTACATCTAGTGGTTCATTTCTCTGCTCTTTGTCCTAGAGAAACTTCTAAAAAGGATTGCCACTATCTCAATTTTTTTTATTTTTTTATTTTCTTGACTCAACCCATAGGGGCCTCTATTCTAACTCCACCACCAAAACCTCCGTCATCAAGGTCACCAGTCATCAAGGTCACCAGTCGTCTTTAATGTTACCAAACCCAGCAGTCATTTCTCTGTTCTCATCTCATGTGATGCATCAGCTGCTTCTGTACAGCCGGCCACATCCTCCTTCTTAAATCAGAGTCTTCTCTTAGATTACAGGACACCACCCTCCCTGAGTTTCTTCCTCTATGTCTGCTTCTCAATCTCAGCCCAGCTTCCCTCCTTCGCCCTATGTCCAGATGGCCTGGGGCCTTAGGGCTTCTTTCTTTCCCTGGGTGTCTTATTCAGTTCTGTAGCTTATGGTCATTACCTTTTTTTTTTTTTAAATTCAGGGGCACTTTACCACTGAGTTACAAAGCCCTTTTGACTTTTTATTTTGAAGCAGAGTCTCACTAAATTGCTGAGACTAACCTCAACTTTACAATCCTCCTGTCTCAGCCTCTTGAATCACTGGGATGGTGGGTATATACTCAACTCCCATGAAACCCACAAACAATCCCTCCTTGTATCTTCAAGCCACATACTTCTGTCTTTATAGTTCCTCACCTAGCCTGAGCTAGTCTACTATGTCCAGCCATCTATTTGTGAAATTCCCTTTAGTATTGCCTATCCACTTGTTTATTATTAAGCATCTCAGTTAATTATTAAACAGAGGTTACCAGAACATCCTTTGAGAGCTATTATGAAAATCAGACAGAATGTACACATTCCAACTTACTTCATCCCTGGTAACTTATTTCTTGTAAACCCTGTCTTACAAGTGGCTTTTTCATTTCCAGAGATATCCAAATTACAAATCGAGAAATCAAAAGTTGAGTACAGTGGTGCACACTTGTAATCTCAGCTATCTGGGAGGCCGAGACAGGAAGATTGCGAATTCAAGGACCACTTGGGCAACTAAGCAAGACTGTGTCTCAAAATTTAAAAAAAATATAAAAGGGCTGGGGATGTAGTTTAATAATAGAGCATCCCTATATTCAATCCCTAGTACCTGGGAAATTTTTTTTTGATTGTGAAAATAACATTTGGTCATGGTTATGGATTCATTAGTATGGAGGGATAAGAGAACATAAAAACCTTTCTCCTCTCTACCCCACGCCCATACCTCAAAAATAACCATTGCAGAACTGGGAATGTAGATTAGAGGTAGTGGCTTTGCCTAGCATGCATGAGGCCCTGGGTTCCATTCCCAGAACCACAAATATATTTTAAAATATATTTATCATTCGTGGTTCCTCAGTTTCTCTTATTCTTTGTGTCAGACCTACAAACAATCCCTCCTTGTATCTTCAAACCACATGCTGAATCCAACTACTTCTCTCCATCTCTGCTGCAAACATCCAGGACTGGACCTGTCCTCATGTTTTGACTCCTGGCCTTCCCAATGGAGGGACATTTCAGGTGAGAGAACAGCATGTGCAAAGTCCAGAAGAGGGTACACTGGAATGCAGACATATCTGCTCACTACAAGCATGGCGAATGCATAGGGAGTGCTCAGAAATAAGGTTGAGACCGGGCCATTAAGAGGCAGGCCAGAAGCCAAGCAGAGAAGTGATGGAATAATGAAATGGAAGTTTCAGGGGACTTAGCTTGGAAGGGTAAATGAGGCAGAATGGAGGGATGGGAGGGTGAGGAAGGGAGAAGGGGCCAGAAGTGGGTTTGAGGTTCTGAGGTTGTAGTGCTGGGTGGAAGGTGGGGAAGGAATGGGAAAAAAGAGCAGAGAATAGAAACATTTGGAGGAACAATGATCAGGGCATGCAAACCCCTGGGATACAGGGGATTGGGGGACAAATGAATCCCAGGTATTTGAAATCTGAGGACTGATAGAGAAAGCTGGGGCCACTGAGGAGGTAGAAAAGCCAGCCTGGATGAAGAGGGCAAGGGTCTTCCCAGGTTCCCAGGCATGGGTCATAAAGAGAACCAAACCCTGAGAACTTTGATGAACCGGCTCCTCAGATTCTTAGGCTGAAGGACGGGCAGGAGTTGAGAAAACAAAGGATCTGAGGGATCCCTTTCCCAGGAGGCTAGTGCCATAGGATGAAAGAGGAGATCTCAGAGATGGGGATGGGGTCTCACCTGCCTGTGCTCCATCCTGTCCCGGCTGTGGGTGAACTGTAAGACACAGAAGGGGTTATTGAGACCTGCCCTGCCCCTCTGTCACCCTTCCTTCCAGGTATGACTCACCCATCACCCACCTTCATAGTGGGCTGCAATCGCTTTTCGAGTCCGTGCTTTCCGGCCTTTAGGTGCTGAGAATCAAGGAAAGACAGATGAGCAGAGTAGATCCCTCTGGAGGCCCAGGAGCCGCTTAGCAGCCCTGCTCTCCTCTCAGGACCCTGGCGTCCTTGGTCTTGTCTAGTCTCCTGTCCTCAGAACCTCAGGCCTCATCTTCTTCCATAAATAGAGTGATTATATAATTATCATCCAAATCAGGTTGCTTCTGAGAGCAAAAGGGGGTGCTATTAATAATCACAATGGCTGGAGGTATAGCTCTGTAGTAGAGTATTCGCCTAACATACACAAGGCCCTGGGTTCTATCTCTTATAGTGCAGCAGGGGAAATAACATTGAGATAACAGGTGTAACCCATGGGAACCTGGATCCATGGTCATGTGGACATCCCATTCATAAGTGTCTTTGCTAATTGGGTCCCAGGCCTCTGACTCTCCCACCTGGTCCTCATCATGACTCCAGGGATCCTCCTAACTCCTGACTATCCCCTCTTCATATCTGGGGTAGAGTTAATGAAAAGCAGGTCTATGTGACAAAAGGAGCCTCAGAGCAAAGGTTATAATTCCTAAGTTTGAGCCTCAACTGTTCAGCTGTGTGACTCAGAACATCCCCCTTCACTCTTTGTGCCTCAGTTTCTCTTGAAGGATAATGATTTCTGCTCTGCCCACTTCACAGGGCTGTTACATGAACAAAATTAATAATGAATTCAGAAGCCACCTTAAACTGGCCACTCTTGTCATTCTTAGAGGGATGCTCACCATTTCTGCGAGGCCGGACTAGTTGTTTCAGGAAAGGCACAACACCCTGGCTTTCCTCAGTCTGGGGGTTCAGTTCCTAGGAGAATTAAGGGCAGGGATCAACTAGGACCTCGCAAAGATATAAGCAAAGATGATCAGAGCCTGTCAGAAGAGCAACCAGCCAGCAATGGACACAGAAGTCTTAGGGACTGATTAAGCGTGGGGTCAGGCCCTTTCCCGAGACCAGCCACACCTTCCTGCCCTCACATCCCCTCCACAGCACAGCCCCTGCACTCCAGTGATATGCTACACAAATGCCCACACTCAGTCAGTGTGCCTAGGCAGTACACACTGCACATAACAGCATCCATGTCCCATGGCAAAATGGTATATCTCATAACCTCACTTCACCTACAGCCAATAAACACTTGCATTCAGTTAGCAACTGGGGCACAAACTTCTTATACATGGTGGTCACCCTCTCTCACACACAGACATACCCACTTATACTGCTGCACCCCCCTCCACACACACACACACACACACACAGACTCACACCCATGCATGTGAGTCTTCATGCACACATACTGGGCACACACCTCACTCACAGCTGGCACAGCTGCAGCCTCAGCTCTGACATGCTTCTCCTGCCTTGCAGCCCACCCACACACAGTGCCCACACCTACTCACCAGCAGCTCCTGGTCCTCCTCTGCCAACAGCTCCCCCTGGGAAGGCTCCTGCTGGGAAGGAGGCAGCCGTCACCCTGTTCTTCTTCACCTGACATCTCGCCCTCCACCCATCCTCAGGTCCCCTGGCCCTCTGCCCACCCGACCCCCATAGGTTCTTCTGCAGTCTCTGCTCCTAATGTGCCCAGGGAAGGAGTGTGCTGCCAGGCCTCACCTGGGCAGACAGCGATGCCCGGCTCCCCAGGCTGACCACGGCCAGCAGGAGGCCAAGGCAAGCCAGCGCCAGGCCCAGGCCCAGCACAAACGGGGCCAGCAGGGCGGTGCCCGGCTCCCCCTGGCGCCCCCTCCGCCTCTGGCTCCGACGGGCGGCCATGGGGGCGGGGGGCTGTGCCTGCCTCACCGCCCCCCCATCCCGGGACCCGAGGGATCGAGGGAGGGGGAGCGGGCGGGCGGATCGGGCGGGGGAGAGGGAGGGGCAAGGGAAACGGGGAGGGAGGGGTGTGATGAGGACAGGAAGCCGGACACTGTTTGTGTGTGATTAAACTCCGAGCCTCCCAGCTGAGCACCGTGCACGCAGCAAGTGTGCGACCAGCAAGTGTGGGCCCCAGCGATTTCAGCGCACGGAGTACAGCACCGGGCCAGAGGCACGCAGCACCAGGGCGTGTACACGCGGGTGGAGGTTTGTGTGCGTGCGAGGGCGACCGCAATGGGACTGTGCATCTGATGACACTTGAGGCAGAGGCCGATGAGAGGGAGCGAAAGCAGAAATAGCCAGGAACCCCACCCAGGCCTGTGTGCATTATGATGGGGCCGGGGGGCCCCCCTGGAACTCTTACAAGACAGTCCTGCCCAGCGGGCTCCCGACCAAGAACCCAGCACTAGCCAGTGAGTGTCTGAGATTGTTATTCCCTCAGCCTGTTAGGTGAGGGCCAATGCACCATCCTCCTCACCAGTTTGGACACATTTTAATTTATCAGCGGCACCTAAAGACATTTTTCTCCAGGAAGTAATTAGAAAAGAGCCTGTGAACATCCATTAACTTGGGTCATATTTTCACTTCTTTCAGCAAAGCAGTTGGTAGTAGATTTAAACTTCAACGTCCTGCAGCTAGAGAATGCAAGACAGAGAAATGGTGCATCCTTAATATGTTCCCATAGCTTGCTTCTCTGGAGACATGGGGGCCCTTTCAGCTGATGACACGGCTTATGGAGCTCAAGGCAAAGCTTCAGGAGCCCCCTACACGACTTTGGTAAAACTGGGCCGTTTTTGCCAAAAACAGTTATGCAAACAACAAGGTTCTTAAAGTTGTAATGTTCACTTTAGTCTGTAATGTTCACTTCTGCATATTTGCAGTGAAACGTATTAGAAAAAATTCTGTTGCAAGAGCAATTAGAGGACAGGGGTGTAGCTCTGGGGCAGAGCACTGGAGGCCCTGGGTTTAATCCCCAGCACTGCATGAATGAATAAACAAACAAACAAATAAACACTGTAGTGAAGCTGAGCCTCTGAGTGAGGTAAGAATAGGAAATCTGCCAGGGTCAGTCCTGGCTTTTTCCTCACTCACTCCTGTCTTGAAGACTTCCTCTTTGTTCGAGAACCTGCTAAAGGGCTTGTGTGTGCTTCAGGGTCTCAATACATGTAATTCCAATACTAGGAACACTCAGACCACATCCATCCTCAGCTTAAGGCACTTCGGAGGATCATCTATAAAATTGAGATCACTGTGCCCTGTGTGGTGATACTGGTACTTGAAATACAAGCTACTAGGGAGGCTGAGGCAGGAGGATGAAAAGCCACTTCCTGAAGGCTAGCCACAGCAATGTAGCGAGACTTTTATCTCAAAATAAAAAGTAAAAAGACCTGGAGATGTAACTCAGTGGTAAAGCAATCCCCAATGGGTTCAATTCCCAATACCACAAAGAATAAATAGATAAACAATAAAATTAAATTGAGACTTCCAACTCCCCTCAGTCTCTATTCTGGTGTCCTTTATTGCTTTCTTAGTTATTGCGATTTGTAATGATACGTTTGGCGACTTGGGTATTGTCTATTTCCCCAGCTACATTGTAAAATATTATTAAAGTACTTATCTCCTGGTTTATCTGCTTATTGTCTGTCTCTGGAATGCAAACTCTGCAAGGACATTATTCACTACCATATCCCCACTACCTTGTCAAATGTTGACTCCTGCACTGTCACTATCACACCTATTGAATAAGGTGAAGCTAAGTTCATTGCTGACCCCTCAACAGTCTGACTGTGCCTCCTTGGACAAAGTGCAAGGCTGTGATATTCATTGAGATATCGAAGCCTAGGTTAAGGGATAGGGTCTTTTAATGCTGGGTGGGGGCAGGGGTTGGTTAGGAGTGGGAAAGGATCATGCCATAGTATTTTGGGATGACCATAACAAAGGGGAGGTTTTGAAGTAAGAGGTTCAATCTTAGGGGCAAATTGATAGTAAATTCTATTAAAGGGTTGATGGGTCTTTTGGAAAACAATGAAGTTAATTTGAAATGTTCAGTTTATCTTCTGGGCAATGGTCCCTAGATAGTTATGCCAGTGAAGATAGTAGAATAGTCATATCAATGTGCTCTCATATCAGCATTAGCTGTGTGGGTAAGTAACTTCAGTTCTCAAAACTACAGCAGCAGCAATTCCTTGGACATAATAGATTCTTAATAACATTTGTTCCTTTTTTGGCACTGAGGATTGAACCCAGGGGCCCTTAAACACTGAGCTGTATCTTCAATCCTTTTTAATTTTTTATTTTGAGACAGGGTCTGATTAAGTTGCTTAAGGCCTCATTAAGTTGTTGAGGCTGGCCTCAAACTTGTGATCCTTCTGCCTCACCTTCCTGAGTCACTGGGATTACAGGCATGTGCCTCTGTGCCCAGCTAAACATTTTTTTGTTGGTTGAACTGAAAATTCCAGAGGATGAGGACCATCTATGTCTTCTTCACTGTTTATACTCAGTGTCTAATTCAGTGTCTGGCAATTGGGCAGCATTTCATAACTTCTTTTTTTATTTTTTCTTTTCAGATATATATGACAACAGAGTATATTTTTGACATATTATACATTCGTGGAGTACAACTTACTCTAATTTGGATCCCATTCTTATGGTTGTATATGGTGAGGAGTTTCACTGGTGGTGTATTCATATACTTCCAGAATGAATAAATGGACGAATGCTTTATTTGTGATTCTAGTGGTGGACATTTAATGCAAGAAAGAGAAAGAACATAAGAGACTTTGGTGAAAAACCCAAAGCATGTCAAGTCATTTTCAGGATCTATATAACATTGAAATTGATTTAAATTTCCTTTTATTTAAACTTGTGACTTTCTTGCCTTGATGCAAGTTCTCTCTGGCATTATTCTGGGCCTAGAGGCTACTGTTAGAATTATATAGGTGAATTATATAGGTGCATAGAAATGAAATGAAGAAAGAGATTATGGAACTTGGGCACCATGGTATGCACATATGATCCCAGTGAAGCCAGATTTAAAATTAGGTAGTCAGTGTAGTTAGGTAAATCGGGTCTAATATCATATTGAGTGAAATCTAAAATGGAGGCCAGGTTGATAATGATTGCTGGACAACTCATGGAATGTTAATGAAGTCCCGGAAAGGCCCTAGGCCAAAGTCCACCCCAAAGAAATGTTAATGGAACCCAGGAAACAGCCCCCAACAGATTTGGAGATAGCCCATCCCAAAGAAGTGATAATGAAGTCCTTCCTGCCCAGATTACTTGTTTGGCCCACCTGTGTCCCAACCCTTCCCCCTTACATTCATCACCAAAACTATAAAAAAGGGGAGACAACCGCACTTCCACGGATTCCACCTCTTGGGTCCCCTTTTTCCTCCGGGAGAAGTCTTTTCTGCTGTCCTTTAATTAAACTTGGTAGAGTGCTCACCTAGCATTATGTGAGGCACTGGGTTCAATCCTCAGCACCACATAAAAATAAGACCCTGTCTCAAAAAGTAAAAAGGGCTAGATCTGTTGTAAAAACATCCTGGGTTTGATTCCCAATACAAAAAAAAAAAAAAAAAGATGGAAAGAAGGAAGGAAAAGGAAAGAGATGATGGAATATAAAGGTATTTTCCCCTTTTTTTTTTTTTTTTTTTGAAATAGGGTCTTACTATGTTGCCCAGGCTGGCCTCAAATTCCTAGGCTTAAGGGATCTTCCTGCCTCAGCTAGGGATTGAACCCAGGTCCTTGTGTATGCTAATAAGCACTCTATCCCTGAGTTTTAACCCTTGGAAGTTGGACTTCTGAGGTTTTTTTTTTTTTTTTAAAGAGAAAGTGAGAGAGAAATTTTTTTTTTTTTTTTTAAAGAGAGAGAGTGAGAGAGAGGTAGAGAGAGAGAGAATTTCAACATTTATTTTTTAGTATTTGGCGGACACAACATCTTTGTTTGTATGTGGTGCTGAGAATCGAACCCGGGCCGCACGCATGCCAGGCGAGCGCGCTACCGCTTGAGCCACATCCCCAGCCCGAGAGAGAAATTTTTAATGTTTATTTTAATATTTATTCCTGTCTTTTTTATTTTTCCTCCACATTATTTTATTCATATATTATATTGAACATAATGATGGGATTTGCGATTTGTTGTTATATATTCGTTCATGCATGCAACATAACATTATAAATTTAGCCAATATCACTCTCCAACTCTTCCCCCTCCCTCCCTCCCTTCCTCTCACCCCTCCCTTCCTCTCACCCCTCCCTCCCTCCCTCCCTTCCTCTCACCCCTCCCTTCCTCTCACCCCTCCCTCCCTCCCTCCCTTCCTCTCACCCCTCCCTCCCTCCCTCCCTTCCTCTCACCCCTCCCTCCCTCCCTCCCTCTCTCTCACCCCTCCCTTCCTCCCTCCCTCTCACCCCTCCCTTCCTCTCACCCCTCCCTTCCTCTCACCCCTTGGTCCCTTTCCTCTACTCATCTCCTTTTGATTTTTTTAAAAACATTTCTTTTAGTTGTACACAATGCCTTTATTTATTTTTATTTATTTTTATGTGGTGCTGAGGATCGAACCCAGGGCCTCGCACGCACCAGGCAAGCGCTCTACCGCTGAGCCACAACCCCAGCCCTTCCTTTGATTTTCATGAGATCCCCTCCCCACCTTCCTTCTCCTTTTTCCTCTTTTGCTTCCCCAAATTAGAGAAAACACAACCCTTGACCTTCTAAGTTTGACTTATTTCACTTAATATAATGGAAAGACCTTCCTTTCTTCGGGTATAGGAGGGGCATCTCTCACCTGAGGGTCTTAATATCTGTTTCAGGAAAAGGGCAGACCTGGTTCAGACAGAGAAGGACAGAGAAGGTCAAGGACATCTTCTTGCTCCTATGGTTTTCTCAAATTCCTTCAGTCTAAAATACTCATAGGCCAAGGTGACTTAGCTTGGAGTAGCATTTTCTGTGTTCTGAACCTCATCATTACCAATAATCACTATATAAATGAGGAAGGCCATCAGCTTGCAAAAGAAAGACCAAGATTAAAAAACAAAAATATGTCACTGCAGGAAAGAGATAATTCAGTGTGTGGAGAGAACTACATAATATAAAGAAATTCAAGAAGACAAAACATTCATAAAATAAGAATTGGATGCTATAATAAAAAGGAACACTCAGAGAACAAGAAATATTTCTCAGAGACTAAAAATGTGGTTGCAAAAATAAAATGTCCAATAGAAGGATTTATTTATTTATTTATTTATTTATTTTTTTTAATAACATTTTTTTGGAAAGAATTTTAATATTTATTTACTTAGTTTTCGGCGGACACAACATCTTTGTTTGTATGTGGTGCTGGGGATCGAACCCGGGCCGCACACATGCCAGGCAAGTGCGCTACCGCTTGAGCCACATCCCCAGCCCCAGGATTTAAAAACTCTAAAAACATAGGGCAAAAATGTGAAAAGATGGAAATCATGGAGAAAAAAATAACAGAGAGGACTAATGGAGAAGTCCGTGTGGTTATTAGGAATCCCAGATCATGAGAATGAATAAAATAGAGGGAAGCAATATATCTTGGGGAAAAATATGAGATAATTTCCAGAACTGAAAGACATATCTTCATTCTGAATGAGTTTAGTTTGTGCTTGTAAGGTCCTTGCTTAGCATCTGGATGGCCATCTTAAGTGACAGCCTCCTTTTTAAGAAAAATTTCCTTTTCCTGCCCAAGGGCAGTTCTGAGAAAGGCTCACCACTCCCTTGTACCAACCCCACCCTTAACTACCCGCATTATGACCCCTAGGCTCTAATCCCCCCAGCCTGCCCCCAAAAAGTCCCAACCCCAAGCCTGTTTTGCCTTTCTCCACCTATGGAGAGATGGCCTTCATTTGTCAGCTCTGGCAAATAAACTCTGGTGTGTATCTCTGCCTGATCTCTGTCATTCATATCTCTTTCTCTCTCTCTCTCTCTCTCTCTCTCTCTCTCTCTCTCTCTCTCTCTCTCTCCTCCTGGTTCCTCACTTTCCTTTCAGTGCTCAAGATACCTCAAGATAATGAATGGGAAATCGTCCATACCTAGACACTTCTTCATGAAATTTCAGAATGTCATGAATGAGGAAAAGATCTGCAAAGTTTCTAAAGAGAAAAAAATATCATTTCTAAAGAAACAAGAGGGGTTAGGATTTTGGCTCAGTGATACAGCGCTTGCCTAGCACATGTGAGGCACTGGGTTCGATTCTCAGCACCACATATAAATAAATAAAATAAAGGTCCATCAACAACTAAAAAAAAAAAAATAAAGAAACAAGAGTCAGAATAAGTACAAATTTCCCGTCAGTAATATCGAATCCTAGAAGACTGAATAGAGAAATGCCTGATTGTTTTTTTTTAATTGATTTTTTAAATATATGACAGCAGAATCCATTACAATCCATATTACACATATAAAGCACATTTTTTCATATCTCTGGTTGTATATAAAATATATTCATACCAATTTGTGTCTTCATACATGTACTTTGGATAATGATGTTCATCACATTCCATCATCATTTCTAACCCCCTGCCTTCCCTTCCCCTCCCATGCTCCCCCTCCCTACCCCACTATGAATCAGACTCCTTATATCAGAGAAAACATTCAGCATTTGTTTTGGGGGGGATTGGCTTACTTAGCAATATCTTCTCCAACTCCATTTACTTGCAAATGCCATGATTTTATTCTCTTTTATTGCTGAGTAACAGTCCATTGTGTATATATGTCACAATTTTTAATCCTTTCATCTACTGAAGGGCATCTAGGTTGGTTCCACAGTTTAGCTATTGTGAATTGTGCTGCTATAAACATTGATGTGGCTGTGTCCCTCTAGTATGCTGTTTTTAAGTCTTTTGGGTATAGACTGAGGAGAGGGACAGATGGGTCAAATGGTGGTTCAATTCCCAGTTTTCCACATTGATTGCACCAATTTGCAGTTCCACCAGCAATTTATGAGTGTACCTTTTTACCCACATCCTTGCCAACACTTATTGTTGTTTGTCTTCATAGTAGCTGCCATTCTGACAGGAGTGAGATGAAATCTTAGAGTAGTTTTGATTTACATTTCTCTAATTGCTAGAGATGATGAACATTTTCCCATATATTTGTTGATTGATTGTATATCCACTTCTGAGAAGTATCTGTTCCGCTCCTTGGCCCATTTATTGATTGGGTTATTTCTTTTTTTGGTGTTTAGCTTTTTGAGTTCTTTATATGAGAAACCAGCCTCTACCTCAGAGCAAAGCCTGTCCTAAGGAAGGGGGTGTGACCCTTGTCCTTGGAAAGACCCACAGAGCACTCCTAGGCACATACCCACCCTGATGAGTTGTTTATCTATAAACAACGGGAGAGATCTGTGGAGCCAGGTGTCCCTGACTCAGTCAGGCTAGGTGAGGACCCATAGCAACCCCTTAGCAACCACTAATCATCATGAGACAGGGAAAATACCTGGAATGTCAAATGACCTCCAAGTAGTTTATGGTGGTTGATAACATGTTGGGACGTACTCCCCTCATGGCTTAAACCAATCAGTTCAAAGGAATCCCTCTCTTGTACTAACCAATCACCCTTACCCAATTTGTTCCTGCCAGTGAATGTGCTAATCATGTTTTAGAGTTTTTTATGACTTTCCCCGAGGTGTATGATGATTTGCTAAGAGATGATATGATGTATGTGGGGTCCCTGCCTTCCCCAAAGAACTGCTGCAAGCCCT